GAATGTTTGCCCACTCACAAAGAAATGATCAGTCTAAAAATCAAAAGGTAGGTGTATTGTAAGACAGAGACAGAATAGCAACAACAAATTCAAAAGAAATGCATGTCTAACAAATGATGCACTGATTTGCATGTTGATGAGGGAAATAAGTATTTGATCCCCTTCACAAAACATGACTTAGTACTTGGTGGCAAATCCCTTGTTGGCAATCACAGAGATCAGACGATTCCTGTAGTTGGCCACCAGGTTTGCACACATCTCAGGAGGGATTTTGGCCCACTACTCTTGGCAGATCCTCTCCAAGTCATTAAGGTTTGGTGGCTGACGTTTGGGAACTCGAACTTTCAGCTCTCTCCACAGATTTTTCAATCGGATTAAGGTCTAGAGACTGGCTAGGTCACTCCAGGACCTTAATGTGCTTCTTGAGCCACTCCTTTGTTGCCTTGGCCTTGTTTTTTTTGGTCATTGTCATGCTGGAACACCCACCCACAAACCATTTTCAATGCCCTGGCTGAGGGAAGAAGGTTCTCATCCAAGATTTTACAGTACATTGCCCCGCCCATCGTCCCTTTGATGCGGTGAAGTTGTCCTGCCCCAAAGCAGAATGTTTCCACCACGTTTGACAGTTGGGATGGTGTTCTTGGGCTCATAGGCAGAATTCCTCCTCCTCCAAACACAGCGAGTTGAGTTGATGCCAAAGAGCTCGATTTTGGTCTCTTCTGACCACAACACTTTCAACCAGTCCTCCTCTGCATCATTCAGATGTTCAGTGGCAAACTTCAGACGGGCCTGTACATGTGCTTTCTTGAGCAGAGGGACCTTAGGGGCACTGCAGGATTTCAATCCTTGTTGGCATAGTGTGTTACCAATTGTTTTCTTGGTGACTGTGGTCCCAGCTGCCTGGAGATCATTGACAAGATCCTCACGTGTAGTTCTGGGATGATTCCTCACTGTTCTCATGATCATTGACACTCCACGAGGCGAGATCTTGCATGGTGCACCAGACCTAGGGAGACCGACAGTTGTTTTGTGTTTCTTCCATTTGCAAATGATTTCACCAACTGTTGTCACCTTCTGACCAAGCTGCTTGGCGATAGTTTGGTAGCCCAGTCCAGCCTTGTGTAGGTCTACAATCATGTCCCTGACATCCTTGGACAGCTCTTTGGTCTTTGCCATGGTGGAGAGTTTGGAATCTGATTGTTTGATTGCTCCTGTGGACAGGTGTCTTTTATACAACAAAATGAGATTAGCAGCACTCCCTTTAAGAGATTGTTTCTAATCTCAGCTTGTTACCTGTATGAAAGACACCTGGTAGTCAGAAAGCTTGCTGAATGATAGGGGATCAAATACTTATTTCCCTCATGAACATGCAAATCAGTGCATAATTTGTTAGACATGCATTTCTTTTGAATTTTTTTGTTGCTATTCTGTCTCTCTGTTACAATACGCCTACCATTTGATTTTTGGACTGATCATTTCTTTGAGTGGGCAAACATTAAAAACCAGCAGGGGATCAAATACTTATTTCCTGCACTGTAAAGGGGGGGGGGCACCACATTGAAGCAAATAAATCCCAAGCTCCTTGCCATTAAAAACAACATTGTTTGCTACTCATTGTGGGATCTCTTATTAAAAGCCAAGAAGCAGTGTCAATATTCAGGGAAGCCCTGTCTTACCTTAACTAGGATGCTGGGCCTGCAAGGGGTTCAGGCTTTGCCACCACAGTGGGTATACCTTTGATAGGGTCTCCAGCGTCTGAACAATAGAAATGGAACATGGCCCTTTTCCAGTATAACACCCTGCAGCTAACTGTAGGCGATGCATGTGCCAAGGTGAACGCCTGGCATGGGATCCAGTGCCTAAAACATTATAGGCTGGCCCCACAAAATGGGGACTGGGTATGTTCCCCAGGGTAACACAAAGTGGTGCCAATCTAGAAATTGCTAAATAGCCAGGGCAATAAGTAGTTATATCTTGATAGAAGCATTGAATTAAAAAAAAAAAAGAAAAAATACTTTGCAGAGGAGAAAGCTTCCATCACCTAAGGACAAGAGCAAAGCTGGAACCTCAGAGTGGCTGAGGTTAAATAAGTGCACACTATGGGCAGCCCTAGCAAAGGATTTCCCCCCCCCCCCCCCTTGTGTCTAATCAATTGAAGGCAGTCCGCCTATAACAAAAATAATAAAAAACTGACTATGGCTCAACCTCTATGTCCACAAAATGTACCTCAAAGATGATTATGTTTGTATGAGAGACCCATGACCATTTGAGACTTGTATATGTATAAAACAATCCATTATTAGAATATATAACTGGAACATCCTAAAAAATAACTACCTAACCTATAAAACCATAACTGGCCAATTATTAAAATCCTGGGAGCTGCGGGAAAGATATATTGAGCAAGCCCCCCGGACCCAAAGCCAGCCACCCAGCTCCGGGACGGCATATCACTGGATCGGGAGTATAGTTCTGCTTTAAGCTTCCATCTTTGAGTTAGAAAAACAAACTCCTGGCAATCCTTGAACCAAACTTGAGCTCTACTACATGTACCATTTTGTGGTAATATTCTTCACCCTTTCCCAAACACTTGATATTTTTCCATCAATTCTTGATCCTACATTAAAGTGATTATAAACGTCCACCTTGTAAACAACGCATTCAATTTAAAATAGAAATTAAAGGCAAAACATTTGTGTATAGGTAAAAACAACAATACAGTTAAATACAAAACATTATAAAAGTACAATTTTCCTTTTTTCAATAAGTGATCACACTCCCTCTGTTCTTAGCTGCATAAGAGCTGTGGGAGAAGAAACCGCAGCACACTGATCTTCCCAGTGAGCAGGGGGATGGGGGGCCTGTCAGCAGAAGTCTGGGACACCTGTGACTTTCCTGAGAGATAGCTGCACTTTGCCATATACGTCCATTACACCTCGCGGGTTTGGTGCGCTTTCTGAAAGCGCACCAAAACACCTGCATTCAGGAGTTTTGATGCGCTTTCACAAAGTGCACCAAACCCACAGGATATAATACAAGTCTATGGCTCAAACGCAACTAACCCGAAAGAAATCTAAAGGTGCACAGCGCTGCACCCACAAATCAATGTGAAAGCAGCTTAATAGTTGTTAACCCTTTAATAGGTGCTAATATGCTCATTGCAAAAGCACAGTGTTTGTGTTTTTTAAATACACTAACCTTCTTTTCCTCTTCCAATTTCTGCTGACATCGCTATGCAGGCTGCTAAAAAGGTCCCAGATGAAGAGCGCTTGGTATCACTCTTGGTATAGCCTGGTGCAGGAGTCAGCACGGGAAGCATTTATGCAGCTCCAGCTCCCTTCACGGCCGCCTGCTTCCTCCACTGCCAGCAATGGCTCAATGCACTCTAATGCTTTGGGATGGCGGATCAGCAAGCCCAGATTGCTATCAAGTTGCCGAGGCTGGGCATGCACTTTCCTGGTTTGAGGTCATGGGCCACATCAGAGGGCTCCGTGGCCACAGGTTGAGCACCCCTGGCTCAGATTCAAAATAGTTTCTGCTCAAGGGGAAAACAACCAGAGTGAACTCCAACCCTCCCCTTCAATAGCAAACATAACCAAAAGTCTAGTCCACCACTTGTGGTACAGTACAGCATAAAGGAACATTTTCCCTAAGAATGTTTTTGTATTTTTTTTCTTTCAAACACTTGGTCCGTTCCAGCTAAATTATTAATATAGCAATATAATGCCATTAGGGGTGCACTTTAATTATTTTTAGTATGCCTATACTAAATCTCTAACACATGTACATAAGGCCATGCTCCCAGTCTTGGATTAGAAATATAGACTGGATGCTTGATTCAGGAAGGCGAACTGATCATAGTATAAGGTTACTGTTAGCTGTATTTAATAAGAGCATAAAAAAAGAGACAAACTTAAGGGGAAAATGAAAGAGAATTTCAGTAGAGAACACCTTTTTAATGCCCATGCATGTTTTTTTTTATTAATAAAACTAACAGTGCCAAGTTAAACAAAATCATTTATAGGTCTCTGTATAGTTAATAAAATTACATAAGTGTATGCACTTTCCAATAAAAAGAATATTGTCTTTCAGTAGGCAGCTGTCAGCATATGTGCAGTTTATTATCTTGTGAACAAATTCATCTTAAACTACAGCTTGCCTTAAAAATATCATAGAAAATATGACCGCTAAAAACAATTCACAAATCTGAAGGAGGAAAAAAAAAAAAAATGTTAAAACTATAATTTCAACATTAAAATAGATTACAAGGCGTTTAGGAAACAAATACAAAACATTTGCTTCAGAACACATTTAAATGATAATTATGTAAACTATATATATATATAAAAAAAAAAACATAAAAAAACAAAAACAAACAAAAAAAAAACAGTTTACCTGGAAGAATTCAGGCAAATTATACTATAAGCAATATTTATATTTATATACTGTATATAGCAACTTTCAGAACATTTCACAGAACTGCATCGGCATTGCAGGAAAAAAACATTTCTAGAAAATGTATTTAGTTACCCCAAAATATACAACAGAAATCATAAAAGCTGAAACAGTTCAGTTTCTGAACTTTAGCTCATTTCAGGAGAAAAAAATAGTTCTTTGGACATTGCATGATTTCTTAAAACCATACTTAATCCTACATCATGTTTTTCAAATAAAAGCCAATTTGATAAACCCATTTCATTCAGCATGTATGCATAGCATTTTATTTAATACATGGATCATACATCATTAGGAAGTGTCACAGAATCATGGGGCAAATAAAAAAACGTGTTGAAACAAATAAGGGAGTCAGTGAATAAAATACTATATTCAAACATCCACAGCAAAAAAAAAAAAAAAAAAAAAAAAAAAAAAAAAAAAAAAAGCTTGGTTATATAACCAATTGCCTCACCATTATGTTTCCATAGCCGTGATATAAACCAGGGAAGGAAAAAATAGACACAAGTTCCTGAAATTATTTGTAACTGGATACATGTTTTAAATTAGTCATCATCATCATTTTCATTAAAGTCATCCTCGTCTTCATCATCTTCCTCCTCAACGTAAGATACAGGTGTTTCTACCCTGGAGCTGCTGTACTGCGATCCATTGGAGCTGGTTGCTTGCATTCCATCTGTTGTCAAATCACTGCAAAGAAAATTATATAAATTACTACTAAAAAATCTGCATCACCGAAAACCCTCTTGAATTGTATTTAGTATTTACATCCCCTCCAGCAGCCCGCAGAGCCTTTCATGTGCAGCTCCAGCGTACAGCATGTAATCAATAAGCCTATATTACTTGGACAAGGAAGCAGGGTCGTACAATGTGCTGGCATCTTTAACCACTTAAATATCAGACACTTTCACCCCCTTCATGCCCAGGCAAATATTTTCAAGAAAAAGAGAGGAAGGCGCCTCTAAGTGCAGTATTAACAATTTATTAGTAGACAATGGAAAATTTGCACTTACAAGATAAGCGGTTAAATAGACTCATCGTGTGGTAATTGGATCCAGGTGGGACATCCAGCAGCAAGCTATGCCTATAGGATCAGGAAAGAGTCCAGGATGTGCCTGTGCATCAAAAATGAAGCTTGGAGAGCAGAGTCAGATGTAGCAGGTGAAAGGGGCGGTAATGCATTTCGGAGCATGCTCAATAGGCTCCTTTTTCAGACCTGACCATTGAGCATGCTCTGAAATGCATTACCGCCCCTTTCACCTGCTACATCTGACTTTGCTCTCCAAGCTTCATTTTTGATGCACAGGAACATCCTGGACTCTATTTGCTGATCCTATAGGCATAGCTTGCTGCTGGACGGCTGGATGTCCCACCTGGATCCAATTACCACACGGTGAGTCTATTTAACCGCTTATCTTGTAAGTGCAAATTTTCCATTGTCTACTAATAAATTGTCAATACTGCACTTAGAGGCGCCTTCCTCTCTTTTTCTTGTTACTGCATTAGAGCCTTGCTTCCACTCTAAGAAGAGCTGCCTCAGTGTTACTGCTTCCATCCATCCCTGACATCCATCTGGCACCTTTATCTTACAGCTACAGAGGTTGGGCTCCAACAAGCGCGTCCTATATAATAAATATTTTCAGCTTTCAGCATCATCACACTTTGAATGGCATTTACTCATGCAACACTGTACCTAAATTAAATTTGTACTATTTTTTTTTTTTTGACAGTTACAAGCTTTTTTTAGGTAGTACTTTGAAAAAAATTTTTTTGCAAATTCTGCAAATAAATCTCTCTAGATATAAACCAATTTGGATTATTTTTACCAAAGAAATGTAGCAGAATACATTTTGGCCTAAATTTATTATGTCTGTGTGAAAGTTGTATAGTCTGCAACTATGGTACATAAAGGTATATTTGACATGGTGAGTTTTTTGAAGTTGTAATTTTTTTTGTCCCAATTTTTGGAAAATGAATAAAAAGAAGCATAAATTACACATCTAATTTCCTGACTACCTATCACATTTTAGAGGCCCTGCAGCACCAGGACAGTAGAAACACCCACAAAATGACTGCATTTTGGAAAGCACTCAAAAGATATGAGTCTTTTGAAAACGTCATTTTCAAATGGATAGAAAATGTGTTTTTTTTTTTTTTCCTTTCCTAGCACAACAGGTTAGGTAGGACACAAGATAATCCCTGACACATTCTGGTAGCCTGGGCTGACCTACAGTTTGCGAGTGTCCAATCCGTTGTTAGGCGGCAGTATACCTCAAAGGTTTAGGAATCCCTGTGTTCCTCAATAGGATACAAAAAATAGAATTTCTTATATAACACCAACATAAAAAGTGACATCAAGTTTAAAACCAGAGGAATGCTAGTTAAGGTACCATTCTATGAATAGAAAATTATAGAGGGTGTAATGCTAAAGGTTTACTGAACTGCATAGCGAAATTGGAGTCGACAACAGATGTGCAAACATGATTGGACAGTAGTGAAGAGAGAGAAGATGTTTTTTCTCATCAAATAGGTATCTGGACCCTGAAAAGAAAGCTATGTGTATGTGGAGGAGAGCAAAACCTCAGCAGGGTTCATATCTGAGGGGTGGCACAAGCACTTGCCTGCTACGCCAGGTGGCCAGAATCCACCAGTAGATAAAAGTTGCAATCTCTCCTTATGTCAAAAGAGAGAGTGTGGGGTAATGTGCATTTTACATATGCTTGTGCACTGCAGTACCATTCATTGTGTGGTGATTGGTAAAAAAAAAGGCAGTCTGCACCATTAATGCTATGAGTTGCATTGAGCCAATGTACAAATCAGCATTTAAAAGCTTACTGTACATGACTAGCTGCTTACAGCATGTATTTTCTTTTCGTTAGGGCATGTTGGGGTGAACTGCATCAGAGCAGAGCACCTTAACGCACAAAAAATGAATGTATTGCAGAGCACAGTACTGTGGTATGAATTGACCCCATACAAAAACAGCAGTTTGTCAAAGTTTAACAGTCACATGCGGCAAGCTACAGGTCACAGCTGATTTGGTTCCAGGGCTCTGTTCCATGTAGCGTCCGCTCAATAGAAACAAATGTAGTCTTGCATGGCGGTAAAGAATATACCTATATCAATTAAATCCACTTGTGTTTTAAATGCTAAAAAAAAAAAAAAAAAACCCAGACGATAAAAAGGAGAAAAAAAACAACAAAACAAAACTGTCATACAGAAAAATCATTACCTGGCTGAAAATCTGCGTCCATTTGACACTGCACCTGACGTTGAGGAGACATACACACTGCTGATTGATCCCTGAGCCATTTCTGTTGAGGAAAGAAACAAGCATTACGTTACACTGTCCACACATGCAAGGTTTTGCTTACAATGTCATATACTTTGCAGAGAAAGTTATAAAAATTAAAAAAAAAAAAAAAAAAAAAAAACACACTAGAAGTGTTCGTGAATGCATTCTTTTGCTTTTAATCACAGAACACTAGTAAAATTAGGATTTTTGGTTTATCTGTAAAATGGTGCTCCCATATTGACTTGTGTACAATCAGCCTGTTTGAAAACCTTCTATAGCTGGCGGTGCTGATGAGTGTAATCTCCCCACTGTCAGAATGCAATAGCACAGCAGCGGAGTAATTTTCTTTAGTTCAACCTGCTTGTTGAACGAAGAAAAAAAAAAAAAAAAAAAAAGCCCACGTATAGCCAGCTTTAGAAATCCGAGTTTCACCCAACCAGCTTCCTCTTACATCTTCGTAAACAAGGAAAAAACATGCCTACCAAAGGGGAAGATTTAACGGCTAAGAGAGTTGATGATGGAAGGAATGACCTAGAGTACAGAGCATAAATGGATGCATGCTCTTGCATGAAGGACACATAGGTACATGCTGAATCTGAGGCGTGTATGTCCTGGCTAAAATAGGAACAAAAGAACTTTGTATTCTGAAGGAGACTCTTAGAGCTTCTTACAATTGTGTTATTTTGTATATACTCTATTGACGTGTCGGGTACTGGGATCCAATAAATGCAACACTCTTGAAAAGAACCAAGGTTGCTATAAACATGCTTGAAGAGGTTGCTTTTTACATCCACTTCCTTTTCCTTCGCCCACAACGTTGACAGGGCTCTGGTCGAGTGCGCATTGACAAAGGGAGGTGGAATTTTAGCTACACTATATGCCGCTGTAGTTGCCAATCTAATCCACCTAGCAATTGAAGACTTGGATGCTCCGTACCCCTTACTTGCCCCTGAGAAATTAACGAACAAGGAATCAGACTTCCTGAAATCCTTGGTAACTCTAAGGTAAGTCAAAAGGCTCCTTCTAACATCTAACTAAATTTCCTCTCCTCATTAGTAGGGGAGGAACAAACCATCGGAAGGACGATATCCTGCACCCTATGAAAGCATGAGGACACTCTGGAAAGAAAATCTGGGTCTGTTTTAAGCACAAACCTGTCTTCAAAAACCAACAAAAAAGCTCCCTAATAGAGCGCTTGCAATTCACTTACCCTCCGCACAGAGGTGATTGCAACCAACAAAAAAAAAAAACTGCCTTTAAAAGGTTAGAGACTTAACAGAACACTTCTCCAGGGGTTCAAAGAGACTAAGAATCAAAGCCCTAAGGACCAAGGATAGATCCCAGGATGGACAAGTCTGTACTTTCGCTGGTTCAGACTTGGATAAGGCCTTAAAGAAATTCACTACAAACGGGTCTTGTTGGAGAGACCTGAAAGAAAACACGAAGAGTCAAGGCTTGCACCTTTAAAAATGTACTTACCGAAAGCCCCTTTTCCACCCCAGCCTGAAAAAAATTACAAGACTGCTGGGACATACAGGGACCTTTAGCCTTGAACCTCCTTCCAGGAGTTGACGTTTTTCCACACCTTAGCATAGTAACTATGTAAGTAGCTCTAGTAACCGACTTGTGGAAGCAACGCCGCCAATTTCAGGGTTGCTACCTGAGGATGAAGAATTGGCCCCTGTGAAACCAAATGCTCCCTCTGTGGAAGAGGAATCGGAGGGGTTGAGACAAGACTCTTCAGTAAAGTAAACCATGGCCTCCATGGCCAAAATGGAGCCACTAGAATGAGGTCAGTCTTCTCTGCTAGAAACTTCAGGACTGCTGGCAGCAGCCTTACCAGGGGAAAGGAATAATGGAGTCTGAAATATCAGGTGTTACAGAAGTCCTCTATACCCAGGGCCCGATCCTGGGAATGCATGGAAAAGAACTGGGCGACCTTGTTGTTACCCTCCGCGGTAAAAAAAAAAAAAAAAAGATCCACTTCCGGCACATTCCTGAGTGACCACTTGTCTTGCTGGACCTGAAACCGGGTGAGAAAATCCACCAGAAAATTTTGCACCCCCTTTAAGTTGAGGGCCTACGATGAGGCCAGGTTCTGTTTGGCCCACCCGAAAATACTGTCTGCAATCAACTGGAAGAATGCCTTGCCCCTCGTTTGCTGACGTAGGCCACGGCCGTCACATTGTCCAAGAGAACCTGCGGGTGGTTGCCCACCAAGAGTGTTTGGAAGGTCCCCAATGCATTTTTAATTGCCAACAACTCCTGATTCAAAGTCAGTCTGGCTTCCTTTGGAGACCAGAACCCCTGGACCAGATTGCCACCCAGGTGGGCCCCCCCCAGCTAAAAGAACTGGCATTGGTAGTCATGATTAGTGGGCTTTGCATGGCCCACAACAGATCCCTGTGAAGATTTTGGTGGACCTGCCACCACCAAAGTGACCTCTTGACCCTGGAAGAAAGACGGATCAGAAGATTCAATGTCCCCTGGCTCCCATCCCAGCACTGCAGAAGAAACTGCTGCAATGGGTGTTGATGAAACATTGCCTACGGCACTGCTGGAAAACAAGATGTCATAAGGCCAACCACCTTCATGACCTCCCTGACTGAGACACTAAGGTTTGGTCTGTAAACGTGCCACCGACCGATCTAACTTCTGACTACTGAGGAAATCACATAGCCCAGATAAACCACCTCCTGCGCAGGGACTAGGTGAGACTTGTCTTTACTGATAAGACATCCGAGAGAGCGTAGGAAACCTAAAGATCTTCCACCAACTGCTGATGAGTCCTGGCGATCAACAGAAGATAGTCCAAATATGGAACGAAAGGGATAGCCTTCAATCTTTGCAGAGCTAGGGCCCTCTGCCAGACCTTTCGTGAAAATCCTTGGTGACAAGCCAAGGCCGAACGGGAGAGCCTGACACTGGAAGTGGCGAACTTCCAAACTGACCCCGACCGTCAGCCTGAGGTATTTTTGGAAAGCCGGCTGTATAAGGATGTTAAGGTATGCATCACCTGAGATCCACCGTCGCCATAAAACAGCCTGAAAAGAGGATGTTTGTCACTGAGAACATCGACTTCATTCTGAAACTTCAATTTACTAGAATCCACCAATGTACTAAATACCAGAAAAACCCTGGTCTTCTTAGCTTTCAAACCTTGATACTTAAGAGGTCATGCTTGGACAAATGTATCTCCTCCTTTTTAATTTCTAGGGTGTCATAGGTAGCCTTGAGGAGGTCATTTAAATCATCCAGCGTCAGTCTATATCTCGACCCCCTGGAGGACCCCCTCTCTGACCCCAAGTGTGTGACCTAGGATCCTCTTTCGTGTCCTCATCTGCCCCCTCCTGGCTGGGCTCAGACAGGGCTACCACACTGGAGGCCCGGATTAAGGCTGTAGGAAGACTGCATTCTATCAATCAAGCTCTTAAATGAATGGAAAATAGAAGCGATGTCATTCTTGGCTGAAGTGAGAATTTTGTGACACGCTGTCACGGATTTATTTCTAACCAGGTTATTAATACACCCAGGGCAAAGGGGACACTTCCTTCTGGGAGCCTGCACTTGAGCTTTGTCCTGGGCCTTAACCTAAAAGGCAAACAGACAAAATAGACCCCATAAAGACAGGCTCCTACCCCCCAGATCACCACTATGCTGGGCTAGCAAAGGAACGTGCCCTTCTTATCACCCATGGCTACTGCCAGGGACTGGGAAACAAAGGACCTCGGAGTGACAGCAAACGGGAGCACACCACGTGCTTACCTGAGAGATGCTGGTGCCTGAGGAGGTGCAGTGTTCTCCATTCCTCCCCCAGAGTGATCCGCCAGGGCCTCCACTCAGCACCGGGATGCCTGAATCAGTCCCCACCACTGTGCTTCCACAAGACTGGAATCGCAGTCTTGGGTGCTCTCTGATGAAGGCACTTCCACATGGGCACCTTCCGGAACCAGCGTAGAACACTGTCGTCTCCGCCCTCGGAAGTTTCTTCTCCCCCCTAGGCTGACCACGAGCAGCATAGCGGGTGCTTCTGACCCACAAAGGTCATACCTCTCTCCGAACACAGGCAGCGGCAGGACGCGCAGCCCCCCAACCCCCCACCAGGGGGGATTGCACCAGGCCAGAAGGTAAACGGTGGGGCTACACCCAGGACGTCCCCACACAGGTTCCTGAACATGCTTCCTTCCTGTCCAGAGGAAACACAAAAAACTGAAGGGGAAACCTGGAGGACCACCTCTTTAAGAGTATGGGCTAATGTGTTTCCTGTCCGGGAGGGAGGAACCCAATGTCTCACAGGCTGTCCTGGAAGACGAGTGGAGAAATCTCAGCTTAAAAGGCAGAGGGTCCATCTACACCCAGCAAATACAAAGATAACTTTGATAAAACAAAGAAAAGAATAATATGATTCCAAGGCTGGTACACCAGCACCATCCATTCAAGTAGTCCTGGAGTTGTTGGAATGTGAGCTGTGTCGTGGATCACACAAGCTGGTCTTTAAAAACAGCTGAGTTCCTTGGACACAAAACTAAGGCATGCTGGTATAAGGAAGGATTATCACCCTGGGCTGGTATACATTTTGTTTGGCAGTATCCAATACTCCTGTAGACTGTAGTATAAAATAGGAAAACTTCCTGCATCCTCACAGGACAAGATAAAATTTAGAATTTTTTTTTCTGTGCATACATTTTGCATTTTCAACAACTTGACAAGAAACAAAAGAATTATAACTCCGTTTTAACAAATTTAACACTAGCAATATACCAACAAGGCTCCATTGTTGGTTGTCCAGAGCAGCATAACCTACAATATAATTCTTAACAGAGCCAAGACCTTCAATGCAAAGTTGTTAAAACAAGATAAGAAACAATCAAACTTTTGGCATTCGCATTCCTCAACAAGAGGACATCCATCCTAAGAATATTGCAGGGTTGTTTTTAACCTATTATTTTGTACAAGACGTATACAAAACAAAGTATAAACAATTTTATCAAACTTACTAACCTGTCACATATGGTTCCAAAGCCTTTGGCACTAAGCTTCGCGCCAACTTCAGATCTTCTGCTGAACAGTTGCCAGTCTCAAGTCCACAAGCCATACCCATACGTTTTAGTACTTCTATATCATCATGTATTTCAAAAGTGTTGTCAAAATTAAAAAGATACTCAAATCTGAAATGGTCAAAGTATTGATTTGTTATAAAAAAAAAATGTCTAAACAACATTCTCATATCCTTTAGCTAGCAAACATATTGAAAAGGCAGTTGACTGACCAGATTAAGGACAACATTAGGTCAAAGAAACCCTCAATACATGCATTAAATAAAACTTGTAAAAACCCTTTCTTGGAGTACACCACAGTACACACAGGAGTTAATATTCATAACTATTTAGGTTATGCTGCCACCTGTAGGGTGAATGGACACTGGCAAAAACAAACAAAAAAAACAAACACAGGAATCTACGCCTAGGTATAACCCCTCCCAGCTCTACTAAGACTACAAAGTTTTGTAGCAAGCAGTGAGGAACAGATAAGAAATCTCTGTGCCTTCTGATACACTCCAAGAAAGGATTTCTACATGGTTACACTAAAAAAAAATCCCAATTTCTTAATCATATATCACAGGGCACAGAGGAGGTAATATCTATGACTACTTGGGATGTCCCAAAGCACTGAACATGAAGGGAAGGCAACACAGCAACAAGGCCAACATGGCCAAAGCCCAAAGTGAAAACTAGGGAAACCCCATTACAACACCACCCGCAAGACCTAGTGTCTGCAGAGCTGAAAACGTCTACCTGGTAGAACTTCAGGAACGTGCTAAGAGAAGACAAAGTAGCAACCTTAGAAACTTTAACAGAAGCTTGATGCTAAATAGCCTAAGAAGCAGTCACTTCTGGTGAGATGGGCCTTACCTGGAAAAGGATCCTTGCCCTTGATCCCATATGTCTGGGAAAAGTGCCAACAAATCCACCTAGCAATAGCGAATCAAGAAGCAACATGACTTCTGCAAAGACCCTTAGATAAATTTCAACAGTTTGAATATCCAAATAATGAAGAACTTTCTCCTTAAGATGATTAGGACAAACGTCCTGGTCTAGGTGAAAATAAACTACCATAAGCAAGTTTACTTACACCATACTGTCTCATCAGAGATGGACGTGGAGTTCCCCTTTTTTATTAGAAGTATTCCTCAATCCTTTATTCCCTACCCCCTCCCTTCCTGACAGGCACAGGGACAGATGTGTAAGTGTTAAAAGTTGCTGGCAGGCTGGAGCAGCAGGGGGCCCAGCGCTACAAAGCCCCCCCATAGAGACAGCAGACTCTCTGCCCCAAGGCCTGTGTAAAATCACACCTCCTAACCAAGATAAGATAGTTTTTTCCCTGGATTTGAAAGAAGTTGGAACCTCATAAACCCTACAAGCCAGGTGACAGAAGTTAAATGAACATTCCTCAGGTCAGCTGTCACCTATGTTTCATATCATGGATTATGAAGCTGTCAGTTTTAATGCATTGTGTCAAGTACTAAGCCCAAGTACTAAAGATGTTGTTTTGAAACCAAGGCAGACTTTTAAAGGTTCATCCCCCAGCCAAACTTCTCCAAGATATTTAATTTTAGTTTTTGAACCAATTGTTCCCTGAGCAGCAGACTGTTTAGATACCCCACAATGGGAATACCAAGTCTTCAACAACCCCAGAACTGAAGCAAACACCTTAGTAAACACATTTTGCGCCATGGACAGACCGAAAGGCAAAGCCAAATACTGTACTAATAGTGGCAATCCTCCACTGCAAATTGCAGAAACAGTCGAAGCAGGAAAATGGATATATGAAGGTAGGTATCCATTGACGACTGGAAGTTCTCCTGATGAGAGCGAAGCAAATCGCCAACCGAATGGACTCAATCCTGAATTTCTTTACTTTCAAAAACGTTTTGAAATCTGTGAGGTCCAAAATAGGCCACACCCCTTTTTGGCTTGGGAAACTGTTGCACTTTTTGTGCATCTGAAGTCATTTTTTAGCACAATGTGTGTAGTGGGATGAAGAAAACAGTGAAATGCCAAAGTCCAGGTGGTCGCAAAGGCAAATAGGCATACCCCAACCAACACAAGAGAGGATGCCCCTTCACTCTTTGGATTTGTCTTCAGAACCGGAGGACTTGGTGGGCCAGTAGGTAATACGGGCTTCTGCTTTGTGCCTGAGGCGCTTTGCTTACAAAAGGAGTTCTTCTGGGATTCAGAAGGAGTCACTGGTTTCTGACCTGCCACATTTTTTTAGGGGTAAGAGTGTACTTTTACCCACCATCACCTTCTGGATGAAGGTATCTATCGAAGGATGGTTCAAACAAGTGTTCACCCTCAAAAGGCAGCCTCTTTATTGCAGAGTTCTGCCAACTAACATTTGACCCACAGTATCCTTTTCATCTGGAGTGATATACTGCCCATCAGGAAAGCTGCCTTATGGAGTCTTCCAAGGCATCCACCAAAAAATTCAAGGGTCTCAGGAAGTGTTCCAGTGACTGGTAGGATCTTTTGAGTCTGATTCTCTGGATCAGATCATAAACTGTGCCCAGACTTTAAGGTCTTCGCAAGCTTCCACAGTACATGCATAAAAAAAAAAAAAAAAAATCCCTTTCTTGGGAGTACATCACAGTACACACAGGAGTTAATATTCACAACTACTTAGGTTATGCTGCCACCTATAGGTACATGGAATCTGGCCAAAAAAACACAAAAAAAAAACACAACAAAGGAATCCCTGCCCAGGTATAACCCCTCCCATCTCTAAGACTACTAAGTTTTCTGTTGTAGCAAGCAATGAGGAACAGACGAAATCTCTGTGCCTTCTGATATACTCCAAGAAAGGATTTTTACAGTTACGCCAACATACCAATTTCTTTATTATGCATGACAGGACACAGAGGAGTTAATATCCATGAATACTTGGGATGTCCCAAAAAGCACTGAACATGAGGGGTAGGCAAGACAGCAAAAAAGGCCAACATGCCCAAAGACCAAAATAAAAACTGGGGTAAACCCTATTACAAAGCCAACTGCAAGACTTTTCGCCCAAAGCTGGCATCTAGAGAGATGAAAACATCTACCACAAATCTTCAAAGTAAAGTGATCCGTGCAAATTAACTGCACTCCTCCAACCTTGTTCTGTCCCCTGCAGGGATGGAATTCACCAGAGGTTGTTGGGGATACCTGACTAAGGAGAGGGATGATATACATAGTAGAACCGTGTGAAAGCGCATATTGAGCTTTCCTTCGTATATACTTAAGGGGTCAACAATCTCTGGTGAGTTCAGTCCCTGCAGGACACACAGGTGATTGCACAAGGTTGGAGGAATGGAGTTAATTTGCACAGAGCACAGATCACTTTACTTTGAAGATGACTTGTGGCACATGTTTGCACTTTAATGTGGGACTTTCATTGTACTGGCACTTTTTTGGACTCATAAGGACACTGTAAAGGACTTCTGAAATTTGATTGTTTGCATGATGATGAATTTGATGTTGATATTTGCACTATAATTTATTTTGGAGGTTTATAGGGTGAGCGCAGCCTTTTACTTTATTAACATCTAGTGTATGGTACATGAGGAATATATACAACTAGGGCAGCAGCTACCGAATATATATTTCTTGCACATATTTTGTTTTATTGTAATTTTTGTACTACAATTACAGATAGCACTCTTTTCTGTGCTACTAAATTTGCTACTTTTGGTATGGTTTTTCTCGACAAATAAAGGTGACACTAAAGCTTTGTTTTTATAACAAAAAAAAAAAAACACAACATGTCTATACTTACCTGCTCTGTGCAGTGATTTTGCACAGAGCAGCCACGTTTCTCTTTTCGGGTCCCCTCTGAAACTCCTCCCTCTCAAGCAGTGCCTCCAGGGAAAGTCGCTCACCTTGAGGGCACAGCTGCATGCTCGTCCTGAAGCAGCTGCTCAATGCGTCCATAAGAAAGAGCCACGGCTTGGCCCTGCCACCACTCTCTCCTCACAGGCTCACTGGCTGTGATTAACAGCAGCGGGAGCCAATGGGTTCCCACTGCTGTCTCAGCCAATGAGGAGGAAAAGTCCTCAGAGGCTGCACACAAAAAGTTTTTTACTTGCATACATAGAATGCATGAAGGTAAAAAAAAAACCTTGAACCTTTACAACCACTTTTAAGTACAGCAATTGAGCACAATGTGATTTCCCCTAGGGGGCACTCACAAGGCCCAGAACAGGCATACATTGGGGTCAACGATCTTAAAGCAAGAGCAGTCAGACTGAAGACTAAAAGGTTTCAGAAGGTGGTGGTGATGTCCCTTTGTCAAAGGAATTACTATTATATACACAATCCATTAAGTGAACAAAAGCAGCAGTAAATAGAGATAGAAAGCGAACCAGGGATTCCTGTGTAGAAAGATGAATCCAAGCAAAAAATCCAGTTTGACTGAATCCAGTCAAAATACACCAAGATCCACAATGCCCCAAAGGCAATAAACCGGAAGGGGTTTCTGACACAGTCCACAACCGTAAGCAGCATGATGATAGGGAGGATCAAGGGAGTCACCAAGTTTAACAGTCTTAAACTTAGTGAAGGCGGTTGCTAGTGAAACATCAGATGGAACTACTGGCAACAACTGGCACAGAACCATTTGCTAGCACAGCACAAGCAGCTGCACAACAGTCACAGTGAGATCAACATTTCAAAAATTTGGTAAAGCCTGCACTTGATTGACAAGAGACTTCCGGTCCAAATCTGCCAGTAGGTGTATAGATCGGAAAAAGACTGAATGTTCTAAAAAATTTAGAAAACTGAAGGGCGTAGAAAAGACCGCTCAGCTCCTTCAGGACATTAAACAAAACTAAGCAGGCTGTGTAAGAGGGTTATGGTGCCTAGAGGCTGGCCTGTTTTTTTTTTTTTTTGTCTTGCAGCAGTATAACCCATGGCTCATAAATATAAAGAGCTAAGTCCCTTAATGTATGATACAGAAATAGAATACATCCAGTTATATAATTTTTTTTGCTTTGAGTGAAAACCTGTCTAAACAATCTGTAGATCAAAATGTATAGGCAGCTGAAATATGTAATTTTGCATTTTTCCTGTAAACTACCAGAGTTTTCTTCCCACAAATGTGGTGCTGCCCCCAAAAAAAGTTGTATTCAGAATTTAAAAAGGGATCTAAAGTCAAAACTTCCTAGTTCGGGATAGAACTCCTGCCAGGTTCCTATTGCGGTCTATGTCACTAATGAACATATTCACCTTGGCCTGGTGATCACTGTACGGTTCTGGTTAGGGCCATTGTAAAATTTTTAATGTCATCTGTATCTCTACTAGGGATGCTTACCCTGTCCTGGTGACCATTGTCAGAAAGTAAGTGGAGATCCAAAGTTTCACGTAAACCCCAAAACAGAAGGGACATTTTCCAATGCATACTTTTGTTGCTGTGACAACCAAGAGGTTTTCACACTTTGGAAAGATTTCACCTGGCTTCCTGTCAAAAAAAACCTTGTGGAACTAACCATTACCACTACAGTAAAAACAAAAAAAACCTTTGTCTTTAGATCAGGGGTCTCCAAACTTTCCAAAGGGCCAGTTTACTGTCCTTCAGTCTTTTGGAGAACCGGATTGTGGCCAGTGGGGGTAGTAAATGTTCTAGGCTTGGCATCGATGAGCGTAAGCAATGCCTCAGGTGTGGTGTTCAGTTGCATAGTGCCTGTGGTCAGCAGAAGGAATAGTGCCCTATCATTGGTATTACTGGGATAAAACAGTGCCCCATCATTGCTATCAGTGGGAGGAATAGTGATCAGTTATTCGTTTCAGTGGATGGAAAAGTGCCCCCTCACTGATATTAGTGGGAGGAAGACTGCCCCATCCTTGCTGTTAGCTGGGCAAATTAAGCCCCAATGTTGGTGTCAGTGTTAAGAGCAGATCCTCAAATCAGCGGGAGGAATAGGGCCGGATAAAGGCTGGCAAAGGGCCACATCTGGCCCACGGGCCACAATTTGAAGACCACTGCTTTGGATTATTCCTTAAGATAGAAAGATGACCTCCCTTTAAAAAAATATGTGCTGCAGCACTTAATAAGCTCATATGCACTTACAGTTTTTTCTTAGTCGCCCTGCAAGGTTCTACAAATACCTGTTGATGTTGTAAGTAAAATCCACCTAATGCTTCTTCCTGTGATGGTGTGGCACTGATGCTGAAATATGTTGAGGGGGACCGTGGCCATAAGCATCATCACTGCTAATGCACAAGATTGTAGCTCATCCGCAGTATACAAAAGGAGCCTTGGTGTGGCACTGCGACTTTCATATATATTTTGCAGATGTGTGCAACTAACCCTTCTATTTTTAATGTGAATTGTTAGGGTCAATTCGTTTTTATTTTTTTTTGCAGGCTAGCTAGCGAGTGTGCTGGGAAACTTTTTTTTTTTTGTGTGAAGGTGAATCAATAAGCACCTGGCCACACCTAGACTCTTGCTGAGCACCCTCCCTCTAGCTTAATCATGGAAGGTAAACCAATTTGTTTTACTTTATGAGGATTGTGCATCACAGACTAGATTTTGTGCATCACAAACTTGGTACCTTGGATGCAATGCAATGTTTTAAAAGTTCTGCAAAAGTTAAACATTTATTTTTTTAAAACATGCTTGCACGAGAAACATTTACTTACTTGTCATTAGAAATGCTACAATCAATCACAGTCTTTTTGCTGGTGTTCACAATAATAAATGGTAAATGTATAACTGAATTGGATGGAGGCGATCTATTTGTTTGCTGCTCTGTTTGACGATTTCTTTGAACTAGATTTTTGAAGGCAATTTGCTGGAATAGAAACAGTAAAATAAATTAATGTGAAATATTAGAGTTTTAGTGATGATACTCTACTGACCATTTACTGAAGTTCAATGTCAGCAAGTTAATACAGCAAGGTTTCAGAGGGCACAGCGGCCCTCTTTGTAAAGCTGGCATCTAAATAAAAAGGTGGATACCGTACCCTCAAAACTGTATTTCTATTGTTGATACAGGCTGTCAGTAAAACTTTCACCTGGATCTACAAGTGGCATGCTGGCAGTTTCCTATTGGTGCATTTATATAGTGCCATCAATTTCCATGCACCTACTCCACAAAGGGGTTATTCATAAGTCTGCGTAGTGTGGTTTGAGGTACTGTCTCCAAGAGAAAGATGACTGGGGTTTTGACCTTTCCACACTATACTAAAAAATTTGTAGTTATTAGTAGTTTTTTCTGTGCACTGATGCTAGATAATTTCCCTCACTTCTCATCTGGTGAAAAAATTGTCCCTGGGACAGTAAGGCCTTGTTCACAAAGGCTTCATCTTGTATGAGAGGCTTGTGTACCGTATGTACAGCAAGATTTTGCAAAGCCTTCAGCAAGCTTCAAGCAGCTTTTGCTGAAGCCTTTAAAGCACCATTCAGCTTCAGTACGAGAAGGTATCTAAAGCACAGATCCTAATGGAAATGCTGGCTCTCTGTGGTCTGTCAACGTGCTCTGGGCTTATGTTGATAGTGTCAGCATTAGATAATTCTGAGATCATTCAGAATTCATTGAAAGATGTGTCTGACCTGCAGCTAACTGCATCTTGAACTGCATTTGCCCGTTTCAAGCTGGTTTTGCATTCCCTTAGATTTGCATGAAAACGCAAAACCCTATTTAACAGGTTTCAGAACTACTTATTGAAAGACTGCTAGCGGTGTTTGAAGTTAAATTTTACATTCCAATTAAGATCTATGTTGAATACCCCTGTATTGGAAGATACCCACCACTGGAAATGACCCACTATCGGAAATTTTTCTTTAAAAACTTTTTTTTTATATAATTTACTTTTTATTGATTTTCAAAATGCTTACAACAGAGTTGCATAGAATCGTGAAATAAGCACAAAGCAATAAAAGAATAGAGAAATAGGCTCAGCGATGAGAGGCATATAGGTACAAATGTTAATACATAACAGTGAATTAGCCATCATTTTCAGACAATTGAGTAGGCAAATCGGAATTGTTAATATCCCACGGTTCCCAAACTGCCTCAAAGATGGGGACAGAGTTAGCATGCAAAGCAATGAGGTACTCCATTCTTCTAATCTCTGCTATAACCTTCACCAATTCCGATCGTGTGGGAGGCATAGTAGAAAGCCAATGCATGGAAATGGTTCTCCTGGCCGCCGTTAAAACATGGGAGGATAGTTTCCTGGCAAATTTGGAGAGGCCTGAAAAGGTAGGCCCAACAAAAAGTGGATGGGCTCAAATTAAATAGGAGCCTATAAAAGTAACTGCAAAAGGTTAAGGACCTCTCTCCAAAAGGGTGCAATGTTCTGGTAAGTTCAAAAAATGTGGAAAAGAGTGCCAGTTTCCTCCTCACCATCGCCAGCAGAAGAAACACTCGGATTGCAAGCATGGAGAACCTCAGTAGTCTTATACCAAAACATCTATATTTTAGAAGTGTTTTCTTTATATACTACACATATAGAAGATCTGAAGGCAGCCTCCCAAATCCTGCTCCATTGATCCAAGACATCTTCACATTGGAGGATCCGGGGCCATTTACGCATATAAAAGGTGTGTATCAATAGAAATGGGGCAGGCGCCTTTAAGCAGCTTATAAGTAGAGCAAATTATGCCCCATTGATATGGACCCTGAATGCAGATACGTTCAAAGGTGAAAGGCTTCTCAAGAGTTAAAGATGGAGCTTTGGAGAAAAAAAAGTGACATATATGTAGATAAACATAACATTGGTGAGGTGACATACAAGTGGCTTAAAGAATCTCAGAAAAGGAATTAAGCTTATGAGTCGCTGGATGGACCAAGTGTTGCAACTGAAATAGATTGGCCTCGGCGCGAGCCCAAGTCAGACTATCTGGGAGACTGGAATTAAGTATGACATTGGTCAGGAGGGAACACAGGGAAGTACCTTAGATTGTACACCCCTTGAGGGTTATGGACTGATGTGAATGTACTATATATATGTAAAGCGCTGCGTAAATTGACGGCACTATACAAGTACCTGAAATAAATAAAGACAGTGCAAATTTAACCCTACACCACCTCCATATAGGTAACGTGAAATGCATGGTCCCAAGCAGAAGATGTTCGTGAGAGATGGTTTCAATGTTGGTCAAAGAGCAGAGTAGAGAACAAGGGCACGCTGGACTTAATTGTAGCCATTCAATCTCTGCCAATTTATTAGGTGGGTGCTGGGAGGACCATGAGACAAGAGCAGGAAGGTGAGTAGCTAAATAATACAACACAATGTCTGGGGCCCCAAGAAGGACAGTATGGGCAATTCAGTGAGATTTATAATGTGAGATGAAGTGGAGGAAGGATTATCTGAAGGGAACGCAATTTGGACATGGGGATAGGAACAGGAGGCATCTCAAACAGATTCAGAAGTTTGAGTAGTATGGTAATTTTTAGCACATTAATTTGTCCAAGGAAGGAAATGGCACGACTGTCCCAGGATTTTAAGGATTGAGAAATTGCATGAAACGGGGGAGAAATTTGCTTCATAAAAAGGGAGTGATATGAAGAAGTAAGGTAGGTACCTAAATACTTCAAGGCATGGAGCACCACCGATAGGGATAATTTAACTGAAGGGAAGATAAAATTGTAGATGGTATGTAGAGTGGTAATGATTCAGTTTTAGACACGTTAACCTTATAACCCGACAGGACACTGAAAACCTGTAGAGTACGATGTAAAACAGGCAGAGTCGTGTGGGCTCCGTCAGCATCAGCAAGATATCATCAGCGAACAAAGACAGTTTAAAGTCACTGTTGTGCGTGCGTAGCCCATGGATATCTGGATTGGATCTAATAGCTATAGCCAGGGGTTCCAAACAGAGTATAAACAACAAGGGGGAAAGCAGGAATCCCTGGCGTGTACCGTTGGATATCCGAAAGGAAGGGGATAAAAAACTACGCTAATTTGACCTGGGAGGAGTGGAGTAAAGGGCTTTTAAAGCAGCTACAAATGGACCACTAAATCCAAATCTCTCCAGGACTAGAAACGTATGTGGCCAGCTAAGTCGGTCAAACTCTTTTTGGGCATCCAAGCTCAAGAAGAGAGTAGGAGTCGGGGACTTATTGACAAGATCAATCAGGTCAATTGGTCCTCTTGGTGTTATCTGTGGCATGTCTAGCTGTTACAAAGCACACCTGGTCTCTGTGTATAAGCTTGGAGATACACTTGGCCAACCTGTTAGCTAGTATTTTCATAAAAATCTTGTAGTCAAAATTTAAATAAGGCTATAGAATAATTATCCGAAAGGGAATGGTCCTTATCCGGCTTGGGGATCATTGAAATGTATGCGCGTGTAAAATCGTGTGGATGCGACCCCTTTAGGAGATCCTGAAACAAGGTTAAGAGATGGGGGGCCAAGATGCCAATAAAGGACTTGTAATATGTGTAAGGAAGACCGTCCGGCCCTGGAGATTTGTGAGTAAGGAGATGTTTGACAAGATCCAATAATTCTTCAATAGAGATATCAGTGTTTAGGGCTGTTACATCGGAAGGTGACAAACGTGGTAATTGTAAGGACTAAAAAAAAAAAAAAAAAAGCGTCAAAAGCAGTCATCTGAAGGGGAGGGTGATTATCAGGGGCTAGGCAATTATAAAGCTTCTCATAATATTCCCCAAATACGGTAGCCATAACATGTGGGTCATATGTGGGTTTGCCATCTGACTGGAGTAGGTGACCCGGTAGCGAGGGGGATGTTTGAGCTTTAAGTCTATTTACAAGCATGCGGTTTATTAGAGAACTCACAGAATTTTTGCCTAGCCCAAACGAGGGACTGGGCAGTTTTATGCAGGTCAAGAGCCCTAATTTGGTCGTGTATACAGGAAACCTTCTGGAGCCGAGGTATACTGTAGACGGGTTATCTGGTAATCGTCGTTCGGCTAAGAACAGTTGGCATAAGAGAGACTGTCTGGCACAGAGGCCTTCTTTAAAGAGGCACCCATGGAAATACAGAGGCCACTGAAGACAGCTTTATGAGCCTCTCAGAGGATTGAGGATGAAGCTACCGAGCCAACATTATGTTGAAAATAAGTGTCTAGGCTCTGAGAGAGTTCCTCTCGAAGTTGTTCGAAAACTCTCATTGAGGCGCCAGTAGCAGACCCTAGGGGAGGAGTTAGGGAGAAGGAGATCAAGCGACAGTGAGGCATGATCTAACCAAGTCATCGGGTTCTCAGAAGAGACCAAAAAAAGATGGGGGGGCGGTGACAAAAAAAAAAATGATCCAATCGAGAGAACGTGCGATGTGGAGTAGAGTAAAAATGTGAATTGCCTATGGAGAGGATGTTTGACCCGCCAGGCGTCAAAGAGGCGATGCTCCTGGATCAGTTTACGGACAGCAGTCATGGAGGAGCATAGTCTCTTCGATGGGGTAGATGCAAAGAGGACCTTCCTATCCTTATGAGGGGACATAACTAGGTTAAAATCCCCCCCCCCCAACAATCATGCGTGGAGTAGATAGGGAACACAATGTATCTAGAGTTTGAAAGAGAAATAGCAGCTGACCAGAGTTTGGTGCATACAAGTTCAATAGCACAAATAGGGAACCCTCGTACATACATTCCAGTAAAACATAACGACCATAAGTAAACCCGGGAGGAGAAGACCCGCAGGGAGCAGTTTTTCCAAATCCAAATAGGATTGTGGATAGCTTAGAGGCAAAACGAAAAGAGCCATCCTGTTTGATATGGATTTCCTGAATAAATATGTTATCTGCTCCCGAGGATCTGAAATCCTTCAGAGCCATCCACCGTTTTTGGACCGAGTTAAGACCTTTGACATTATATGACAACAGCCTTAAAGCCATCATGAAACAGTAATGGGCATAGCGGCTCTGTAATTTGAGTATAATTATCATCAATGAGGCAAAACAGAAAACAACAAGAATAGAAAACCAGGTGATTAGCATTGCAACAGGCCTATCACAAACAAATGTATCACTCAGAACAAAGGCCGTAGGGATTACGGCTGGAAACAAAAGATATCATCAAAGAAATGTACCTGGGATATTGGGTATATACCGAGTCATCAGGGCCGAAGGCCTGATGCACCAGGGGGCAACACGGCAGCTGACCCGACATGGCAGGTGCTACCTCAGTAATTCACAAAGCAGTTGTAGTCAGGACATGGCAGTGTAGAAAAATGCTAAGGCATACATGGGAATAAAGAAACTCAAATAGCAGGGCGGGAAACCTGACATGTAGAAGAGTCAGGTGGTGGGACCCACCAAACCAGGAAGTCATAGACGTTGAGGAGTACGAGGAAATCTCTTTCTCCCAGGTTTAGCAGGTGTCCAGATCTTGCATGGAGTAGCAGAGGGCCTGGATGGAGTAGGAGGTTGCGGAAAGGCCTCTTCCGGAAGGGGAGGGAGTCCCAACTGTTTAAAGAAGGATTCCGCTTCATGCAAGTATGACTTGGGCATTATCTTTGGAGATAACTAGCTTGAAAGTAAACCCCACAGGTACACGATACGGTGCTGCCGGAGATGAGTGGTGACCAGTTTCAAGACACGTCTTTTTGCCAGAGTAATCGGGGCTAAATCACTGAAAATTTGAAGCCTGCCCTCTTTAAATTCCAAAGAGGACTTGTTGCGAGTAGAAGAAAGCAAGGCTTCTTTGCTGTCAAAGTAGTGAAAACGCAGGATAACATATCTAGGCCTGGTACACTCAGGTGGTTTTGGGCCTAGCAACCTATGGGCCCTGTCCATTCGCCAGTCGACATCTGGGACCTTGGGAGCCAGGGTGGTGAATAGAAACAGCAAGTAACATTGAATTTGGGAGTCGGAGACCATTTCGAAAATGCCACGAACACGAATATTCTGGCAGCGCTCATTGTTTTCCAGGTCTTCCTGCTGGAGCTGTAACTGAGAAATGGAGTGTTTCAGGTTTGCATTATCCTCTTCTAGAACATGGACATATTGCACAAATTCGTCAAGTTTTGATTCAAGGTGGTCTGTGCAGTCTCCTAACTGGGTAATCTCCAGCTAAGCTCCTGAGCAAGTTTCCCAATTTCAGCAGAGATACTGCGGGTAATATTATGCAGGAATACTTGCAGTTTGTCCACCAGGATATCTACCGTCAAAGAAGTGACCACTGGAGTGGGATGCAGAACTGCAGGGGGGTCTGTGTCCGTCCCCTCCATTTCAGCGGACCCTCCGGAGCACTCACTTGGACCGCCGCAGCTACTCGAGACTGGAGATGCAGGCCTAGTGAAGCAATCCAGCATGGAAGGCCGGAGATCCGAAGGATGCGGCGTGGGCGGCTACCAACGCCCGATTTTTCCCATGGAGATGCCTGGATATCCAAAACTTGGTACAGGGCTCTCCCAGAGTTGTGGACACTGCAGAAGCGGAGCAGGAGCAGGAGGGCCGTGAAGGCTGAGGGTCAGTTCACATTTCACGCATCTGCCATCTTGGATTGCCGTGCATGTGCCCCCTTATTTAAAAGCTTTAAAGTGTTACTAAACCCAAGACCCTGCATTCTCTATATCTGGGTCTCCCCCACAGTACACAGAATATGGAAATGCAAACATTTTAGTAAATATAAACTGCAAAATACCTTTTTCCATCAGCAGTTAGAGCAGTCTTGTGAATTCTATCAGTGTGCAGCTGAGCACTGGTTAAAGCCTGTAGGAGTTTTCATTCTCCTCTCACTGCTCTATGAAATTGCATAACCTCTGACCCTCTGTCTGGACCATGCTGATTAGGACTGGACTGTGCTGATCACATGCACCCTCCCAAGAAAAAGAAAAAATTCTCTAGCAGTACACACCAAACTGAACATGTCCAAAGTGTCCCTGAGGCTGTTCTATCAGGAGATGAAACAGGGAAAGTGAAAGACGTGGAGGATCAGAGAAGACAGGATCCAACATCATTTTTACACCAGGCAGATGATTAACCCCTTAAGTTCTACAGTGAATATAACGAGCATGCTTTACTGCATATACTGACGGATTTTAATGTTGTGGGTTTAATAACACATTAAAAAAGCTGCATAACGTCAGTGCTTTTACATTCTTTTGGCTGGACATTTTAAAGATTCACAAATTCACAAAGAAAAGGAATGTGTAGATAGTCTGCATTTTTAAAAATGCAACAAGGCATCCTCCTACATGTACCATGACTTGGCTAAAAAAAAAGATGAGCTAATATGTTGATGCTACATAAAATGCAGTGATTTTTTTTTTTTTTAAGTGCAAAGAAGCCATCTTCCTCCATGTACCATGACTTGGCTAAAATTGAATATGTTACTACTACATAACTGATAATCCTTATATTACTTAAAAGTTTATCATCAAGATTACCTGTAGAATAAGTTCCTGTAGCTGAGACTGTTTTTGCTTTATTCGCTCAAGTCTTCTTTGTCGTTCAACCTTAAAAATAACCTTAACTTTATTAAGCATAACAAAATCAGTGTAAGATATAGTTACAAAATTACACTTTTGCATTACTGACTTAAAGTGTCAGTCACTTTAACAAAGCGCTGCTCACAGGTAGAAAGTGCAGGCACCTAGAGATGTCTGCACATACATACATACATACATACATACGAGGCCAAGAGATTCCTGCATACACATTTTGATCCAGCAAGGTTCAGATACTTCTAGCTAGTGTCAGAACATTGCCCCGTCTCCCATCCTCCATACATTCCTACTGGACTAGAACTATGAAGGACTGCGTCACTTGTCAACAAGAATGCATAAGAAGCAGGAGGCAAGCTTTCGCCCATCAAAACGACTCTGCACTCAGAGCATAGACAGTGAAAAGCTGCTGATGGTACTGAATTGTGTAGGCATCTCTAGGTGCTTGTATGGTAATTTAGCGAGCGCTCTATGAACAGATAGCAGCTAGTACACTAAAGGAAATCACAGACCTTAAAATGCAAATAAGTAGAATAAAGTGCAGCGCTAAAAGGATAAGAATAATAGGATGGAGCCAAGCTTCTAGGATACAATTGTTTCCTCCTGGATTCGGATGATTCCTCTGACAGTGGGATCATTGTTTTCTCTTCCTCAACTGCTTCCGTCTAATCATCATCGTCTCCGGAGACATTTATCTGTAGGAGCATTTCTGGGAGTCAGATTCCTCATCTTGGAGGAGCTGTTAAATCCACAGAGCAATCTCTCATACCATCCAACATCCAGGAGGAGGGAGCCCTGTATCCAGGCTTTACACCTAGACATCCTAAAGGAGACCTCTGGATCCAGCAGTTTTTTACTACACCCAAGCCTGATGATTTCCTGTCCTTGAGGGAAGCCCACCATCTGCATGCTGTTTATACCTCATCTGGTGGAGAGTTATATATTTACATGCGCATACCCTATGTGCAGTCGGTGAGTGCGCATTTTTGCCATTTATTCCCTGTCACTGGCTTTGGAATTATCTGCTGATGTGGAAGTAATTTTGGTGTCATATACCACATTCAGTCTAGTGGACGATTTTATATTGAGCAAACTTTTTATGTGCATATTTTATCTCATTCATTCTTATCCTTTTAGCGCTGCACTTTATTCTACTTATCTCTAGGTGCTTACTCTTCATGCCTATCAGTTGCTATTTTTTGTTATAATTGACGGTCAATTGAAAATAGGCAGGCTCCGTACTTGAGCCGGGAAATGCCCAGAGGCTCGGTTTTGTATTGATTTACAAAACTACAAACACAATAAATAGAATTCTCAAAAAAAAAAAAAAAAAAAAAAAAAAAGGAATAGGCAGACTCCAACTTTGACCTAATGCTAATGGATTTGCTTCCTGTGGTCACCATGTCATGGACTCAGAACAAGGATGCACTTTGCTACACACCAGCGGCATTGCCGGCCCCTTCCCCTCTGTTGTCCATACACAGAATACTTTGTATTTTGAGAATCTGTTCACACAGTACAAAACTCTACAGGACAGGGCAAGGAGAGAGGAGGGGTAAGCAGAGTAGCAGTAAATGTCTCCCAAGTACTTTACATGTTAAGATTGACAACTCAGAAACTGGCCTCACAGAGGTGATGGTAACAAGCAAGGCAAAACAGGACAGAGGAATAACCCTGGGAGGTTCAAAGGCAGTTTCAGAAGAACCGACAGAACCAGACTGCGATCCCGCGGCGTCACTAGGGGATATAAAGAAAATAATGTGAGCAACACCCTGCATAAAGGCCTTTACTAAAGTGTGAGAGGCAAGAAGTCTTTGAAAAAAAGAACCACTGGACCGAGCTTTGACCCTTGATGGTACTTAAAACCTTGCCGCTGTCACCTCTCGGTCTTTTAAGGGTTTCGGAAGCTGGGCGGTGGGCTGGGGTTTTAGGGTCATGTGACTGCCGTGATTCACTGTCACATGATCAGGAAAGGTCCCGATCGAAAGAGGAGATCGGGACCTTTCCGAGAGTACCGGACACGTATGCTGGGAGCACGCACATGTTTTTCTTAATTGCACGTAGATGTGCAGCCGCTCGGCGCCAAGGCCCAGACGCCAGACATTTGTGTGCGGCCAGCGCGAAGAGATTAAAGGACAAAAGGCCGATTCAGACCAGACAGAAGAAAAAACAGGATTCATCCTATGTGGAACTTCCCAAGGTGGAACTTTCTTATCTTACACCAAGAGACATACACTTTCCAAGTGTGACAGTAGACTTTGCAAGAAATAGATTTTCTAGCTTTCAACAGAATAAGGATAACTGATTCCGACAGGCCCCTAACCCTCAAGACCCAGACTTCAACAGGATGGTAAAATGGTCCTTGGGACAATCTGGACCTGCTCAGTGAGAGCAAAGTAGAGCAAGATGTCATCATGCATGTGGGCATCCCGGATTACAGCAAACAATGAATGACCTGGAAGATTCCATTCTGAACTTTTGTACCTGAAGGACGGTGCTGAGAACATTCAGAATCAGTATGGGGTGAATGCTTTGGCACTGGGGACAGTGAACAGGGTATGACGTCCTGAGAGGAGCTGCACTAGAATAGCATGGTGGTTTGCCAATCTTTGCAAGGGCACTGGCAAGTTTGAGAACATAAGAGCAGGGTGGAGGCTGAAATTGCAGCCTGTAGCCTCTAGATACAACTTTCTGAACCCAATGGCCACAATGGTAGCCCCTCACTGTGGGTAGGATTTGTTAACAGATTTGGGGGGAAGGACTTACATTGGAAAATAATTTCAGGGCTTGTCTTGGAAACCAGCCAGAAAAACAAAAGGAACTTTTTAGTCTCAGAAGTACAGGGTTTTTCATATTGAGGTTTGCCTTCTCATTCAGAGGCAAAAGCGTACTCTTCCATGCAGTCACCTCCGAGGTAATGTTGTCCAGGGATTCACAAAGAGGCATTCCCCTATCAAAATGCAAAATCCAAGAGACTTTTCAAGCACTGATGCTCCAAAGACCAACATTTAAGCCAAAGTATCCTTTGCACGTATATGAAAAGGTGGCCCATTTGGGATAGTTGACATAAAATATTCACCAATATCTTAAAAGTATAGCAGTGCCATCAGCATTATCACTTGGAAATGCCCGGGTCCACTACAGGGACAGCCCACTTTAAGAAACCCCTCCTCAAAAGGGTATTACCGAGCAAAATGTGAGAGACTTAACAGATTGGGTCAATCACTACACAAAACGCGGTTGCAAAGTAAATATACTAGAAAAGACTCAAAAGTTAAAGGCAACAAGGTCAGTGTGAGCAATGGAAAAATGGTGCACGCACATGTGCAGTGGAAACCTCAGGACAACACTCGCACAGATACAGTAGAGCCTGTGCAGCTGCAGCAGAGGGCTGCCATAGCACCAAATTCTAAAGTGACACAGCTCCTCATCCAGACGTATGACTACTAGCGTCTAAGCTGGACCCCACAATTTGGCCCTTGTGTACAAGGAAGCGTGGTGGTACCTATATTGCCCTTGTTCTTCCCCAAAGAGTTAAAGTGCAAACTCACAGATATGAGGATCCCGATAGGTCCTTTATCTCCCACACAGGCACACTGGTGAAAGAGCCAAGATTCAAAGAACATGCCACTCCCACTAGTTTTTGCGTCTACAGTGAGCATATTCTTTGCGGAGTCTTCAGGAACAGGGAGCCACCAGATGGGCGCGCAGTGGACTTGACCCTGTAATGTGCTCTGCAGCTGATTTATACTGCAGCCCCCTTAAAGCTGATGCCACTTCTGGGAGTGTCGGATGTCCACGTACACCACTGTACATTGTGGTTCCTTATGTCATGGCTAAGTCCTGTAGTGAGAAGGGGGGTCCAGCATTTTGTTAAGTCACCTGAGGGGGTCTCTTTAATGTGAAGTCAGCATAGCAGTTTTAAACATAACTCTTTTGGAAATTCTGCTCCCCTACCAGCTTGTAGAACAAGGGGAGAGTAATTCTTTCCATTGCAATACTGAAACAACTTGGTAAGATATCAACATTTCTTATTCTTGACCAATTGCAATTCCATTTCACACAACATAACAAAGTCCCCACCTTTAACACCCAATTTTTATATATATTTTATACATCAAAATAAACTTGTGTCAGGTGAAAAAAAAAAAAAAAAATGGTGCTTTGCATCAATAGCAGCTTCACATCAAGTTGTGCATCAAACATACCTCTAAATTCTGACATTCCTGAGCAGAGTTTGTTGGTAGACCAATCCACTTTATTTCTTTTTTTTCTTTAGAAATAATGTTCATTGCCATAAGCACATTTAAGGCATCATACACACGCCGTCTTATATTCTTCTGATCATAAGCTTGCTGTAAAATAATGGTGTTTCAAAGTTTACAACACTTAACTTTAATTTGCTCATATTTGGCCTTCCTGGTCTCTCCCTCCCACCTCAGAAATTCGAACTAATTTTTATAATTTTTTTTTTTCCTTTTACTTTTAGACCCAGTGACATTATTAGGTGTGATTCTCTATGCAATGCTGGCAGATCATAGGTGAGAGTCCAGCTGGTTGCTGTACATAGCTTCCTGAAACATCCTTACACCCCGACTCAGTATTCCTTTCAAGAGCCCTTAAGTCCCGAACAATGTAAGCAGTGGGCTAGCTCTTGGGAAGACTTACGCAAATGTCAATATTCCTTGATGGGTAGATGTCAGCCTGGAGGAGTGGAAGTTCCTATGTAGGCTATATTTGCAAGCAGATCTCCCTAGGTAAAGCTCACTCATGATGCTGATCATTCATAATTAAAAAACAAAATCATATGAATGTAAGGGGTGAGCCAGGGAGGAAAGAACTAGATTATACTGGACATACTCCAGCCAAAAACTTAGGTTAACTCTGATTTTCTGCAATTTCTAATGCACACTGTGGGAAGCTCAATGTGTAGTGACATCAGAGTATGCAATTTTAGTACAGAAGAGCCTGCACAACCATGCAAGACCAAAGGTAACGTTATAGTTCAGCTTTAAGTCAGTGATCATGAGCTAGCATCAGTGGGGGGGGAATAAAAAGTGGGATATATAGTTAAGTGAAATTAAAGCAATGAGAAACTGAAAGAGAGACTGAGGAAAAATGGGAAACAAGTGCAATAAAAAAAAAAAAAAAAAAAACAAAAGAATAGTGAACAGTGAACTCACCGATTCATTTGGCGATATGTGGTTATCAGTTGAACTAAATTCTGCTACCAACTCATCGGCCACTTCATTGTAAGAGGTTGTGCCCTTCTTCTGTACTTTCTCACAAACTTTCATTGAAAAGTGACGTAAGCCCTTGCCATTTTTCTCTCCTTTTTTATTTCTCTTGCTAAATAGGAGACATTAGAGAGATAAACTGTATAAACAATAGCTAGCAATGGAGCACACATGAAAAGCGTTCAATTTCCAAATACTGTAAAAATGAAGACCCTATTAATTAAAAAGAACATCGTACAAGAACAGCCACTAGGCTTTTGAAACTTTTCTGTCCAGATAGTTAGTAACCACTATAAAAACTCCTGCTGCTGATCCTCAATGATAAATTCATTCAGAACTTACAGCAACTAACCCCTTATCAATTCATCTGCAAGTCTCTAAACAGGATAAGGACAAATGCTGTTTATATCATACACCAAGTGTAGGTCTATACCTAGGAAGAATAGAAGAAAATATGCTTCCCCTGATAATTTCATTGCCATGCAACGGCTTTCTGCAAGCAGACAGATGGAGCTGTACATCATGTCATAATAAACCCTTAGAAACAAACAGGAGACCAAGGAGGACAGAATCTGGAGCAGCTGTGCATGGCAACCAATCAGCTAACTTCAACTTGATCAAGATTTTAAAATGAAAGACAGAATCCAATTGGTTTTCCTAAAAATCCCCCCCCCAGTCTGAAAGTAATTAAAAGGCACACAGCTGTTAACCCTTTCATGCCCAGTGGTAATCAAAGCCAGGATACCCAAGAAAAATTTAGCAGCGCCAAGTAAGTGGTATTAATCCAAAAAATATATATATATATATATATATTTGCAGCTTACCAACTGCATTCGTTTTTCTTTTTAGGCTTTTTTTTTCCTTTTATTATCACTTGGTGATCTGGCCACTAAATCTTTTTTTTCTCAGAACAAGCTGCAGATGTAGCAATTGGTAGCTCTCAAGGAAGAGATTTAAAATGTTTTCCTCCGTTTTCGCCTAATGATCTGACCAGTAACACATCTCCTGTATTAATGTGCCCCCACTCTGAATGAATGAGCATAAGGGGCACAACTGGACAGCAGCAGTGTCAATCTGAGGGAGGGGAGTGTTAGATGGACTAGCAGCTTTAGATACACTAAAAAATTGAAGCCAAACTCCAGCTCAAACTTTATAAGTAGTTACAGCAGTTTTCTTTTTTTCATTTGTGATAAAGGTTTTCCATAAATAAAAGCTGATCTTTGTAAGCACCACTGTTAGTGGTAAACGGTTTTTCTCATGCCTGTAACTGCCAGAAAGCCAATTTCGAACAGACTTACTGGCAATATCACCAGGTGAAAATAGAAGAAAGCCTAAAAAAAAACAAAACAAAAAAATGCAAGCACCATGTGTAAGAATTGACAAGCTGCAATATAATAAAATGTTTGCTTTTGAGCTTAATACTGATTCAACATACAGAGGGTTGAACTGGAATGAGTTCAAGGCCAACTCACTTTTAGCAATAGGTTACATCCATATCTGAGGTGAAGCATGTTGCCAAGTACCTCCTGCCTGTGAATTAATGCACTACAAGTCCCATCTCCCACAGTGGTAATTCTCAAAGAAATATAAGTGCAGAGGATCACTGCGCTCATAGTCCATTGACATTTCCCCCTGCTCTGCAATTGAAAGTCAATGGAGAGGTACAGGGCAGGGAGCTAAAAGAGGTGCAGGAGCCTGGCATTGGGTATTGCAATGGTGTTGCAGGCTCTTGTGAAAAATAAAAAAATGCACATTTTTTTCCTGCATTCCATTTTTGTACATTTGTTATTTTATAAGATGAATTTAGCCTTTAAAGGAAACTTGTACGACAGTAAACATTGCCATAAATGAGCCAGTTTCTGTTTTTCATACAACCAACAGGTTGAATGAAAAAAAAAAAAAAAAAAAAAAATGACCCAATTCTCCTATCCACGCACTCAGTGTGGATGGAGGAATCATCCCACTGTCTGTATTCTGACAGTGGGGAAAGTTCCTTTTAAAATACACGGATGGAGCGGATATTGCCCAACAGGCTGGTTGAACAGAAGTCAGTTGGTAGATGGACTTCTGTTCAACCACAGTGCCCATACATGGATCGATATTTGCCCAGTCCCTGCTGAACTGGCTGAATTTCAATCCATATATGGCCAGCTTAAATCAGCCATGATTATTCTTACCCCGCAGACCACGGAGAGGAGTCTGTGGCTTGGTTTTGTGATACAAAGTGCGTGCTTGGAGTATGGGGACTTCCTAACAAGATGGTATTTGGTTGTCTCTGTGGTGTGCCAATAACCTGCAAAGAGAGAATTAGTTTAAAAAAAAAAAAACAAAAAGATATATGGAATCATTGTAACTTAAGAATGAGGGACACCTTGAGACTGAAGGTGTGGGGCTATGCATGCTGTGGTGAAAATGAGTGTTGCTAAATTTTGTGAACTTTGGATGTAGCTTAAAGAAGCATTGTTAAAAAGTCTAAACCTACATACGGCACACACTGTACTGTCTTGTCCTTGCTTTCATCACCCCCCCCCCCAGGCCTTGCAGGATCCTTAATGTTCAGTCTTCAGTTGTGTTTCCATAAATCAATTCAGCTGCAGCCGGTCAGCGGTTTAGTATGTGTACTCCATCATTCAAACTTGTAGCCTTCTAGAAATTCTATAGCTGCAGCCAATCATAAAAGGGCTCACATGGTCACATGACAGTATCAACCTCCTGAATGGCTGCAGTTCCATAACACATGAATGGTTAGAATAATGAGGTACACATATTAAACTGTGGATCAGCTGCTGATTAATTGATTTCAGGCGTCTATATCCTCTGCCCTTACCCATTCTGCAGAACAATGATGTTGGGCACTTTTGGACTTCTATCAAAATGCATGGCAGTCCTGCAGAATACAGGACTGTTGGGAGATATGGATATATTTGCAAGATGGAATAATTCTGAAAATTAAAACACAGCAACTTAAGCCCATCAAACACAATCACAGCAAGGAGCAGCCCAAATGTTTAATGGTGTTCTACTGAGACCAAGAACAAATAGCTACTGTTCAGCTACTACAGAGTCTAAAGCTGGCCATATACTAGAATAAATTTATTAGAAAACGTGTGTTTCAGAACAATTGTTCAATTTCCACATTGTTTGTGGGGTCACATCAACATTTGATTTTAACCACAAAAAACAACAAAAATCCCAAGCAGCAGAATGGAAATTATTTCTCAAAGGAATACATTTCTAACATGGAATATGGTTTTTGTCCAAGAAATTGCATTCATTCAAAAATTGTTAAAAGCAAACAGAAACAATTGAGTGCTGTCCGTGATACTTTTTTTTTTTTTTTTGCACTAAACATACAATTTTGAGGACAAGCTTTCGGGGTATGTCCCATTCTTCAAGATCCAAGCATTACTATTACAATGTTTTAGCAGAATGTTATGCAGGCCATAGACGTGTTTAAATTCTTCCGATTTTGTTTTTGTTTCTTGTTTCTCCCGAAATCGGGAGAATTTAAACACATCTATGGCCTGCATAACATTCTGCTAAAACATTGTAATAGTACCGCTTGGACCTTGAAGAAGGGGACATACCCCAAAAGCTTGTCCTCAAAATTGTATGTTCGTGCAAATGAAAAAAGTATCACGGACAGTACTCAATTGTTTCTGTCGCAAATGCACTAATACGGCTACAATCACCTCAAGTTAAAAGCAAACAGCAATCTGAAGTACCTTCAGACATTTGTCAGGTCTTTGAATGTATTGACGAGCATTTTTAGAAGAATGTTCATATGAAAATCACCTAGTGTATGACCAGCTTAAGTGTGGCTGCGTGATTAGCTCCACAAAGAAATGTGTCTAAATCCAAATTATATACTAGTAGTAACCTGAACATTTTTGTTTCATGAATGCTTGTTTTACTTTCTGCAGTTACGCTCAAAAGTCTGCACTCCCCAGCAGAAATCCGCAAAAGTTTGGCACTGATATGGAAAATATGACTGATCATGCCAAAAACCTGTCTTATTTAGGGATGGTGATCATCAAGCCAAGGTCAGATAGACCAAGAAATATTGCAGCCACAACTGCCAGGAGCATTGCTCAGGATAGAAAGAAAAACCCACAGGTAACCACAGGAGAAATGCAGGCTGCTCTGGGGGGGGAGACACACAACAAAAACACGATGTGGTTGTTTCAAGGAGCACAATACAATGATAGTTCGAGAGGAGGGCTGATGTCACAACCTTGGACTAAGCTACAATACAGCGCATCCAGTGGCCTCACATGTTAGCGAGGGACAATGTTTAGGCCAGCTTGGCCCAAAACAAACTATGTGAAGTGTACCAAAAGCTGGAGTTCAGCTTAAACTATTGAGGGTATGAATTTGTCATCCAGGTAGTATTGCAGAAAAAAGACACACATGAATGGACAGATAGATATGCAACAACATTTGAGAGCATATTATAATGAATACTAAAGACAAAGAACGAAAAAGTACACACAAAAAAACCCCCAAAAAATTAAAAAAAAAAAAAAAAAAAAAAAAAAAAAAGGAGGCACATTGAAGATAATGAGTTATTCTCAGCTAGCTATCCTTTTGTTCTCCTCCTTAACGGGATAAATGCACTGCTTACCATGACCCTAATATAGGCTGAGAGAGGATTTTTTTTTTTTTATCATCTGCTTTAAGTCCAAGTGACCTTACTCAATGTTAACTGTACAAGCCATGGTAACATTGACTTTAAGAAATGTCAGAAGCCACAATCATTTACCTTTAAAACATACTAATAAAATACATTTAGCTGATTGTAAGCTCCATGAGCAGGTTCCGCCTATTTCTTTAGTATTAAAAACAGTATTGTAATTGTACTGTCCCCCTGTATATTGTAAATTGCTGCACAAACTGTGCTATATAAATCCTGTATTATAATAAGACATAAGCACTCTAATTACTGAACAATTTGGTAAACTTTAGGTATTTAAAAACTGGAATTCAAAATTTAAAAAGGAGTTTAAATCATGACAGCCCAATGGGACGTGCATTCTCAAGAGTCCTGAGGCTGGGGACAGTCACATAGAAATCTATAGGAAGCCACTGAGCAGTGTTAATTAAAATTAAACCAATTCACATGACTAAAATACAACTAAAACAGCATTTTAGTCAAAAGACTGACTAAAACTAAATTGAAATTTTAAGTCAAAATGAATCTCACGGCTAAAATCTGTGAATGTTCAAACCTTAATACCGTAAATAAGAACATGTTATTAGATTTTTACTCCAGCAGTATATATGGAGTTTGGAAATTCTAGAGAAATGCTTAAATAATGCATTACAATTTAACTAAACCCATTAGATTTTAGATGACTAAAATGTTAGTCAACTAAAATGTGCTGGAGATTTTAGTTGACTAAAATACAACTAAAACAATTCAGATGACAAAAACTAAAATCGCATATTGGTCAAAAGACTGACTAAAGCTAAATCAAAAATATGTCAAAATTAACACTGCCATTGAGCAGGCATGGCCAACTGGAGATTTGCCAGAGAATATAAGCAAAAAGCAGAGGCTTTGATGTAAGCACTGGGGGAGAGGGGGTGGGGTTTAGGTCAGGTTGGAGAGTGCAAAAAAAAAAAAAAAAAAAACATGTACATTTTTAATTTAGTTTACTTACCACTTGTTGGGAAATGTTCACATTGGACTGGCCAAATGTTTTTGGCAGGAGCTGCTTTCCAACCGATGACGAATGAACAGCCAGCAGTGACACTACACCTGCAAAGTAAATAATGACCTATAGTTCAACTGGCAGAAAATTCCATACAAGCAAAGGGAAATTCTTAGAAAACCTATCTGCATAAATTATCAGGGTGATCCATATTCCACATTTGTAGCTATTAATTCAATTGATCCAGTCTCAACCAAGAGCAGCTTGAAGGTATGGCCAAACAGTTTTGTTCCATACATTTTTTTAACAATGGATTGAGATTTTAAACAAATGTGTTATGGTGGTGGAAACTTGTGGCTGCCATTATCCCTCAAATTGATACATGAACGTAAATTCTACTCCCCTAAAACAATGGGGCAGCACTGGTCAATGAGCCAAGGTAAAGACAAAACACTTGTTTCCCTTTGTCTGTTATTGGATGTAAATGGACAACAATTCATTGCTATGGGCTTGTGAGTGTAACAGATAATCATTGGTTTACATCAGTGTATGTTCATGCCTGTCATCTTAAACAATAGAAGGATATGTCCATTTGTTTAGATAGATCTGAATGGGCATCGTCCATTTATATCAGTTTTTCAGGAAGACATTTTTAATTATACTTTTGTCAACTATAATTAGTTTATTAGTACAAAAAGGGATATGCACTAGGGTGAGCAGAACTGAACTGAAATGTATGTGCAAACGGACAAAACCTGAATCAGTATTCACCTTTTTTTTTTTCCTCAATAAGAAAAACGGGACTGAAATGACGACATTCGTGTGAAAGGACCCATATTATTTGCTTCCCATAGCATATAAACAGTCAAACGAGAGCTTTGCTGATGCAGGTGGATATACCCAGATTTGTGTACAGCTGCTAGAACATGCAAAGGTCCTTTGACACTGCAAAATGTTTTACACTTTTTTTTTTTTTTTTTTTTTTTTTTTTAAGAGGTGGGTATAGGACGACCAATGAAATTAGACAAGTACCATGTAATCGCTGTGCCCAAACACAGTAATCACATATGTAAACAAAGAAAGTATCAGCTCTTTCCCACACAGAGATCTTCTGTGAGAGGACAGGAGAGAGATGTTCCAGAGGTCCTGTGAATGTTTACAAGGTCTTTAACAGTTTTACAAAACACCATTGAAGCCAGCTTACAGTGTTTTTGATCGCTAGCCCACCAGTATAATTTTTTGGTGTAGCCAGCCACCTGTCCCACTGTATTATGTCACTGTCCCTGGTGAAGCCAGGAACAGTACCTTATTGCTACAGAAGACAGTCAGTAGGACCAGGCCAGTGCCATCAGCCAGTGTCCCAGATTGCAGTTGACGCCAGGCCAGTATACACCAGCACCAGTGGACCAATCACCACCACACCAGTACTATTGTCAACAGAGCCAGTGTCCCTGATGTCAAACCAGTATATGCCAGAAACCGTGTTCTGATCACTACCATACCAGTGTCTGAGCCAGTGAAGCCAGCAAAATTGTTGCTAAGGGAGGTGGAGGAGGGGAGGGGGAAGTCAGCAACTTTGCACCTGATGAGGAACTCTTGTCCTTTAAATACCAGGATAAGTGGAATGTGTATGTCCTTTCTTCCACCTACCAAGACACCTCAGTGGAATTCCAAGGAAAGCATGGTCTGGTCCAAAAATCTCATTGCTTACACGACTACAAACAACTCATGGAAGGTGTAGATTTAGATTACCAAAAGATGATGTTCTACCTGACAATTAGAAGATCCATGCACTGGTTAAAAAAAAAAAAAAAGTGCCTATTCCAACTGACCACCTACACCAAGCTATATATTCCCTGACCACTTGTATAGAGTTAACCATTTCAGTATATTGATTGTTAGACAGAGTTGGTTGATTTTTTTTGACAGACAAAATGTCAGGTGCATAATCAATCCAAACATTGAAAATGTTTTACACAAGGTATCCCAGGGAGGAGTAGCATAATGTGTTTTATGGTGCAATTCTAAGTATGCCTAATAAGAAATATCTTATTAAATTTTCAACTTTGAGTAAAAAAAAAAAAAAAAAAAAAAAAAACGTACATTTTTAATTTCTTTCCGCATTTTCCAAATTTTTTTTTTTTGCCATAAATTTTTTCAAAAGACTCACTATGCCTCCTAAAAAATAAAGCAATGTGCCCGAGCTCACAGGGAGGAGAACTGCTAGTAAACAAAACAGTTCTCCTGCCCATCGGAGATCCTCAGAAATCACTAGGCGTCGGAGAGTAATCACTGGCCGGGACCTGGTGATTGACAGCTGCGGCCATGAATGGCAGCGCGCGTAGGGCAGGCGCCCCCCTATCCAACAATGCAAAATCATGTATGTATGTATGTATAATATACATAGATAGATATATATACACACATACACACACACAGTGGGGATCGAAAGTTTGGGCACCCCAGCTAAAAATTTGTATTAATGTGCATAAAGAAGCCAAGGAAAGATGGAAAAAATCTCCAAAAGGCATCAAATTACAGATTAGACATTCTTATATGTCAACAAAAGTTAGATTTTATTTCCATCATTTACACTTTCAAAATAACCGAACAAAAAGATGGTGTCTGCAAAAGTTTGGCCACCCTGCAGAGTTAATATCTTGTACTGCCCCCTTTGGCAAGTATCACAGCTTGTAAACGCTTTTTGCAGCCAGCCAAGAGTCTTTCAATTCTTGTTTGAGGTATCTTTGCCCATTCTTCCTTACAAAAGTCTTCCAGTTCTTTGAGATTTCTGGGCTGTCTGTCACGCACTGCTCTTTTAAGGTCTATCCATAGATTTTCAATTATGTTGAGGTCAGGAGATTGTGAAGGCCATGGCAAAACCTTCAGTTTACGCCTCTTGATGTAATCCCCCGTGGATTTCGAGGTGTGTTGAGGATTATTATCCATTTGTAGAAGCCATCCTCTCTTTAACTTCAGCTTTTTCACAGATGGCATCAAGTTACCATCCAAAATTTGCTGAAATTTTATTGAATCCATTTTTCCTTCTACTCGTGAGATGTTCCCTGTGCCACTGGCTGCAACACAACCCCAAAGCATGATTGATCCAACCCCATGCTTAACGGTTGGACAGAGGTTCTTTTCATTAAATTCTGTGCCCCTTCTTCTCCAAACGTACCTTTGCTCATTCCGGCCACAAAGTTCAATTTTAACCTCATCGGTCCACAGAACTTGTTTCCAAAATGCATCAGGCTTGTCTATATGTTCATTTGCAAAGTTCAAACGATGATTTTTGTGGTGAGGACGTAGAAGAGGTTTTCTTCTGATGACTCTTCCATGAAGACCATATTTGTACAAGTATCTCTTTATAGTGGAATAGTGTACCACAACTCCAGTGTCTGCCAGATCTTTCTGGAGGGATCGTGCAGTCAAACGTGGGTTTGGAATTGTTTTTCTCAAAATCCTGCAAGCTGTTCTGTCTGATATTTTTCTTGGTCTTCCAGATCTTGCTTTAACTTCCACTGTTCCTGATGACTGCCATTTCTTAATTACATTCCGAACAGAGGATATTGACATTTGAAAACGCTTTGCTATCTTCTTATAGCCTTCTCCAGCTTTGTGAGCGTCAACTATTTTCAGTTTCAGTTTTCTAGACAACTGCTTAGAAGAACCCATGGTGCTGATTGTTGGGGCAAGGTCAGATGAGTCTAGGCATTTAAAACCTTTGAGATTGACATAACCTGGTCTTCCCAGACGATGATTGAGAACAATCCATGACACTGGCAGGTCTCAGCTTTGCAAAGGCGGCAGTGCATGCTATAAATTCTGCAGGGTGCCCAAACGTTTGCAGACGCCATTTTTTTGTTTTCTGTTATTTTGAAAGTGTAAATGATGGAAATAAAATCTAACTTTTGTTGACATATTATAAGAATGTCTAATCTGTAATTTGATGCCTTTTGGAGATTTTTTCATCTTTCCTTGGCTTTATGCACATTAATACAAATTTTTAGCTGGGGTGCCCAAACTTTCGATCCCCACTGTACATCCAAATTAACAAAGGAATGGCTTCACCAGAAGATGATTAAAGTTTTGGAATGGCCCAGCCAGAGCCCAGACCTGAATCTGTTGGAAAATCTGTGGGGTAATCTGAAAAGTTATACACAGGAGATTCCCTCGCAATCTGACAGATTTGGAGTGTTTTTGCAAGGATGAGTGGGCAAATACTGCCAATTCAAGATGTGCCATGCTAATACTCATACCCAAAAAGACTGAGTGCTGTAATAAAATCAAAAGGTGCTTCAACAAAGTATTAGTTTAAGGGTGTGCACACTTATGCAACCATATTATTTTAAGTTTATTTTTACTTCCCTCCACCTAAAAGATTTCAGTTTGTCATCAACTGAGTTGTACAGTTTATAGGTTACATTAAAAGGTGGAAAAAGTTCTGAAATTATTTATCTGTCTTATTTTTTTACATCACAGAAATCGGACATTTTAACAGGGGTGTGTAGACTTTTTATATCCACTGTATGGGCCCATATGCAAACAAACAAGCCCACTCACGCCTCCATGAGGAGAGCGTACAAAAATATTAGAACATTGTAAAATGCTTACCAATAGTACCTCTATATATCTCACATGGAGCCACTTCAGGGTTATCCAATAGGAATGCAAGTGCCAGAGATATAGTATAAATAATAGTGATCCAATGCTCAAGTGCCATCGAACAGCTGTCCCTGTTTGGCGCCAAATGTGATAAGTAATTAAGTCTATGAATTCTCCCACCATCTTGCTTCAAAAGCAGCATCACGGCCATCATTCGCATCCCCCCCCCCCCGGCCCGAGCGTGTGGCGCCACCCGTCAACCGACATCACACGCTAGATCCCTGACACTTGCATTCCTCTTGAATAATCCTGAGGTGGCTCCATGTGAGATATATACAGGTACTATTGGTGAGCATTTTACAATGTTCAAATATTTATGTACGCTCTCCTCCTGGAGGGCGTTTGTTTGCATATGGGCCCATATATGTATCCTTTCTTACTTGTGTTTGGGTCGGACTTATTTTGTCATTCCACCATAATGCAGGTTTTGATTTAGCCCCATGCCAACAATCTTTTTGCTTGAGCCACACAATTTCATGTGACAAAAAATAAATACTATATTTATATATAGATCCCTTCATTGGGATCCCTTCGGTCCTCGCTGGTGGATGGCTTGCGGGGGGGTCTTTGCCTGCCCTCTCCCTCACGTGCCATTTGGAGAGCATCCTCAGCCAATTTCCAATGAATACCTGTCACTTATTATCCGATGTGGTGCAATCTAAGTTTTTGAGCAACCAGCTTTCTCCTACACACTTTTTAAAACAATATTATGTAGTAGGTTGTTCACACTCATTTGATTTATGTTCTAGACCTGACATATTTAGTCCCTGAAGAAGGAAATAAGAGTTCCAAAATGCGTTGGATTTGTCTGAACAACATCACTGCATACGTTCTTTTGGGCTGTCAACTCCTTTGCCAGTTGATGTACTACAGACTGTCAGGTTTTATGCTCACCATGTATGTTCTGTATGTGTTTATATGAACCACTGTATTATAAGCTACTACATCAAATCTTTTGATTCATCTTATTATGTTAATCTTTTGTAATAAATATCGTTTTACATTTTTTGTATGCCTATTGTGGTTTTGCCAAAAGTCCCAGGGGAATATTTCTAGCTTTTCTTGATGAATAAACATTGGGGTAATTTTTTTTAATTGTTATTAAAAGGACTTCTCAACAAATGTTGAGATTTTTACTTGACATTTTGGTGACTGAGTAGAGGTACTATGTGCTCCATACTTCTTAACATGGGGGGTTGAAGAATCTGAGCCTACCTTCTTGTTAAAGGGGGCTTCCAGATTCTGATAATCCCCTCCCATGCACACACACCCTTACAACCACCGGGCTAAGGTTGTGGGGGAAGAGACCCTTGTCCCCCATCAACATGGGGGACTAGGTATTTTGCCAGGTGTCGTCCCCCCTGGCAAAGTACCTCCTTCCATATTGAGGGCATGTAGTCTGGTATTGGTTCAGGAGGGGAAGGGCTGCAAGCTCACCGCCCCCTTTCCTGGCCCTACCAGGCTGCATACTCTCAGATAAGGGTCTGGTACAGATTTTGGAGAGGACCCTACACCATCAGATCGCCACTTTGGTGCACTGTAAATCGGTTAGATGACTTGGTATTTACCCAATTTCCACATTCTAGCTTCTCTTTGCAAAATATTTTCATTGTACCTTTAGTAATTTGAACTAAAGTGATCAACTCCCTCCCACCGGTCGTATGCATATATGTGGTCTCTCAAAGGGTGAGCCTTGACGCCGAAAGGCCGCATATATGAGTACCCAAAAAATAACAGATCTGTGCCAAGAGTGCACGCCGTGAACGCTACCAGCACAGTTTCCGGCAGCTAACAGAAAGCTCCTGATCTCTACTTGTGATCGAGAGCTTTCCGATCATGTGACCACTGCTACAGCAAAGCACATTATCACAAACCCCGCCCCACCTCCTGGCATCTAAAATCCTTTAAAATGCCGGGAGTTGCTGGCACCAAGGGGTTAATATGCTTAAAGTGGAGAAAAACCAGCAAAGTAAACAAAAAGAAAAAAGAAAAATTTTTTTAACTATTTATGGAAGAAAAGCCCATAATCTTTTCCCGCCATAAAAGTTAAACTTTGGCATAAGCAAATGCTTAAATATTCTTTTTTTTTCATATTGGTGTGCATTTTGTATTTCTTTCAGATCTGTGCAGTAATCCAATGTGAAAACTCTGCGGAGGAGATTCCTGTAATACAGACCAATCTCCCTGCTGTTCTCTCGCCTTATGCTGGATGAGTTGTCTTTTGTGGCTATTGAATATAAATGTTGAAAGTTTTCGTGCCTGAAGTGCGCCATAAAGGTGTAAATATGCTGTTCATTCTTGCACATTATGGAAAAAGCAACAGTGACAGCCAACCCTCTTACTTAGCTTTAAAGTCCAACAACATGTAGTTTTATAAGTTGCATGGAAATCTCTACGCATTATATGTAAACATAAACAGCTCATCCATATTGCTTACCAGGTTTACATTTTCACTGAGGAAAGTCAGGGAATGTCACAATACTTTTCAAGTCACAGAATAACAATCTGGTGGTGCAGGTAAAGCTTACAGCAAGAAATCAAACAAAAATGTTGTAATTTACCTTTTGCTGGGCTGAGATTCTGATCAACAAATACTTTGAGCTCTCCATTTGCTTCAATTAAACCAGCCTGAAAAAAAATAAAATTATATACAAATGAAAAATCAAATATCTATGCATAACTAGTTAAACAAATGCAGAACCACAAAAACAATCTGCAGCACAATGAAACCACGTAATTTGCAGTCACACACGTGAGTTAGAGAAACCAAGGCAGTTGAAATAGCTAAAATCTAAACATCCAATAATGCTTGACCTTACTTTGCATTGCCAGAAACTGTCCAAATTTGTGGGACATAGCAGCAGTAACTTAAAAAAAAAAAAAATCAAAAAACTTCAATTTAATGCTGTATATAGCATGTAAAAGTCAGCTTCCTCAATTATATTTAACACATTGTTATGAACAAGGTTGAAGTCTGATGGAGGAACAGTGCCCCTCAGTGGGCAAATTTTAACAAAGTCTGCTTAATCACACAAAATTACCCTTTAGAGCAAAATTAAAAAATTAAAAACAAACTATTTTGTGATTTTTAACGGATATATATTTTAAATTTAAGAGCATTTTAGGGTTAAAAAAATAATCCACCACAAGTGGTAAAGACTCAAGGTATACCATAGTCATTTTACTCCCACATCAATAAACTTACACTGATAACATACAGAAAACTGTAGCTATAATTTTAAAGGGGTTTCCTGGGAATTATTTTAAGGGTTTCTCTGCAGGAGGAAAGTAGTAAAAGGCTAGATTTACCCTTTTCAGATTAAGGGGAATTGAAAACTGGCACACATTTAAAAGAGATCCAGTTTCTAAAATGAATATATTGCTATGCAATTCTGATTTCAGATTTCCCATAGACACAGGGCAGTCCCACCCCCCACCAAACACCAGGAACAGGGGAGATAAGAGATTAAGACAGGCGACGGGCACAGTGCCGAACCAAGAAAGGACTTCGGTAAGTATGGAATAACAAGTGGTAAAACATTTTTATCTTAATGCACAGAACGCATTAAAAGCAAAAAAAAAAAAAAAAATGTTTTAACTCTAGGCTTATTAGTTTATTAATTTGACACATTTCCATCCTCTGCACATTCATTTTGGTGCATATACAAATGTTAATGTGGTTCTGAAGGCAAAATGTTTTCTACATTAATGTATTAATTGCAATAAATATGAACAAAGCTGTTAGACATCATTTATCCTTTGTACACTGTGTGCACAATTAGGCAAGTGAACAATTTGACCAAGTCATCATTTTTATGCATATTGTCCAACTCCAAGCTGTATAAACTTGAATGCTTATTGGATTTAAGCATATCAGGTGATGCATATTTGTGTAATGAGGGAGGGTGTGGCCTAAGGAGATCAACATCTTATATCAAAGTGTGCATAATTAGGCAGCTTCTTTCGTTCAGCCAAAATAGGCCAAAAAAGATTAAACCGACTCTGAAAAGTCAAAAATTGTAAAAAGTCTTTCAGAGGGAGGCAGCACTTTTGAAATAGCCAAGATACTGCGGTGTGATCACAGAAACATCCAACGTTTTGTTACAAATGGTCAACAGGGTTGCAAGAAACGTATTGAGGAAAAAAATAAATAAATAAAAAAGGACGCAAATTAACTGCCAAAGATTTGAGAAGAATCAAAACGTGAAGGTACCAGGAACCCATAATCCTCCAGTGTTGTCATATTCCAGAACTGCAACCTACCTGGAGTGCCCAAAAGTACAAGGTGTTCAGTGCTCAGAGACATGGCCAAGGTAAGGAAGGCTGAAACCCGATCACCACTGAACAAGACCAGTAAGTTGAAATGTCAAGACTGTGCCAAGAAATACTTGAAGACAGATTTTTCAAAGGTTTTATGGGCTGATGAGATGAGAGTGACTCTTGACAGACCAGAAGGATGGGCCTGTGGCTGGATTAGTAACGGGCACAGAGCTTGACTTCGAATCAGACATCAGCAAGATGGAGGTGGGGTACTGGTATGGGCTGGTATTAGTAAAGAGAGCTAGTTGGACCTTTTTATGTGAAATCAACTCCCAAACCTACGGCCAGTTTTTAGAAGACAGTTCCTTCAAGCAGTATTATAGGAAAAAGTTTGTGTCTTTCAAGGCCATGATATTTATGCAGGACAATGCTCCATCGCATGCATCAAAGCACTCCACTTCGTGACAAGCCAGTAAAGGCCTTAAAAAGTGTTCCTAAGCCCAGGACCCTGCATGCACTATCTGGTCTCCCACAGTACACAGAACATGGAAATGCAATTATTTTAGTAAAACTGCTAAATACCTTTTCTCATCAGCAGTTAGAGCAGTCTTGTGACTTCTATCAGTGTTCAGCAGAGCACTGGGTAAAGCTTGTAGGAGTTCTCTAAGAAGATGTAGAACCCAAGACCTCTGTCTGGACAGTGCCGATTGGCCCTGTGCTGATCACATGCACTCTCCCAAGAAAAAAAAAACCTCTCTAGCAATACACACCAAACTGAGGATGTGCAGTGTCTCCACAGACATTTCTTATCAGGAGATAAGAGGGAGACACTGGAAGAAAGGGAAGATCAGACATCCTGTTTACACAATGCATAGGATTAACCCCTTAGGTTCCACAGCGATAACAACAAGAATGCGTTACTGTAAATACGGACTGATTTTATGGCTGCGGATTTAGTAACACTTTAAAGATGAAAGAATATTGACATGGCCCCTTTCCTCATCAGACTAAAACCCTATTGAGAACTTGTGGACCCGTCTTAAAAAACGGGACATTTACGGTGAAGGAAAACAGTACACCGCTGAACAGTGTCTGGGAGACTTTGGTTGCTACTGCACACCAGATCAAGGAACTGACAAACTCCATGAATGGAAAAGCTTATGACTGTTACTGAAAAGAAGGGTGGCTATATTGGTCACTGATTTTTGTTTCAAATGTCAGAAATGTTTTTTGTAAATTTTGAGTGGTTTATTAATTTAACTTTAATAGATGAAAAACAAGTGAGATGGAAATTTTTCATTTAGTTGCCTAATAATTCTTCACACTAATAGCTGCCCAATAATTGTGTACACATAGATATTCTCCAAAGAAAGCCAAAACCTAACTTTTACTTTCTTAAATATTCAGGTTTGAGATTTAAATAACATTTTGGACTAACAGAGCACTGTAGTTTTTCAATAATGAAATTGATCCTCCAAAATACAACTTGCCTAATAATTGTGCACACAGTGTATGTTCCAATACTTTTTCAATAAAGCACTTTGGTACCAGAAATATGAACAAAGTACATCTCTCTATAGTGTGTACTCGTATCCATCCAGAGAACCAAGTGTCATTATATATGCACACACATACACAGTATTGCCTAATTTGGTTACGGCCCTGGTATGGTTCCGGGTGACATCGGGTTATCATGGAAACTATCAATAGCCGCTATTTGAACAGGATGAACGCTCAAGGGTGTGGAGAGAGTGACAGAGACAGCTGACAGAGTCTTCTTGGATGCCTAGCACAGGACGGGATGGGACCAGTCAGTGCAAGCGTGCACTTCAGGTGAAAGCCACAACCAGCAGTGTCCCCACCAGGTGCCGCATTCATATTGGGATATTGTGGAATTTTGTGCCCTTCATCTGTGGTGCACCAGGGTAGTGCACCAGTCTTGTAAATGTGATTTTATTAGTATTTTAATAAACTCAGTTTTATACTGGACACACTATGTTAGTTTATCTTTTTACATACAAATATCAGTGGACCACCTGAACCAGAGAACAGTGCAACCCGCCGGGAGGAAATTCCCCATAACGCAGGGAAATAAAAGGGTAAAAGGAGCATTTAGAACGAACTCACAGTAGGTCTAGTCATTAAGGTGAGAGGCGGAAGTTGGTGCTGTCTCACAAGGCGGTGAGATTATTATATTATTATACAGGATTTATATAGCACAGCGCTTTACAATATAAGGGAGACAGTACAATTACACTACATTTCAGTACAGAAGGAATGTGAGGGCCCTGCTCGTGGAGCTTACAATCTAAAGAGATCACATCTGTCTGTTTCTGCACTTGGATGGGACTGGCATATTGTATGGAAACTCAGAAGGACTTGATACATATGAGGACTATTATAACCTTTTTGTGGTGCTGTCCTGTGTTTCATTGTTAATTGATAGCATGCCAAGCTGGGACGTTCCACATAGGCACCTGAAGAACTGAATCATGGGCTAGACCAAAAGTGCTTTCATAGTACTGCATTACCATGTGCACATGCGATCCCCATATGTTGGTGTGCCAATGAGAAACAAATGGCACCACTGATGCACAAAAGTGAGAATTCTGCCTAATGGGGGCACAGCCAGCAAAAAAATTCTATGCAAAGAAAAAAAAAAAAAAAAAATTTAAGCTGCATTCACACGATCACAATCGTGAACAAATGTTCCTGCTCCTGATTCAGGTTGAGCAATTTGCATGTGATTTCGTGTGTCCCATATAGGGCAGCCCATTTACTTCAAGGGCTGTCCTATGTGCGTTTGTCACCCAAAAAGAAGCCTGTGCTCCTTTTCAGGTAACAGGAGTGCCATTATAAAAAATGCATCATGCAGCAATTGTCACACGATTAAGAATCGCAGGCAAATTGTGGCAATTCTGCCCGCGATACCAAATCTCGAAGTGTGAATGAATCCTTAAACTCAATGCAGACTTTGTGATGATTTGCTGCAAGCTTAGTGATGTCAGGGCCATTAAGAAACACTCCTCATCTAACTCAATTCAAACAACTGTACAAGGAGGTATCAACCAGTGGTACTCTAGGGCAAAATGACCTGGAACAAGAAAAAGCAGAACTGCAGCCAAAACAAAAGATAAATTGAATAAAATCATTAAAAGATAAAATATTAAATCCAGCCCTTTATGCAACATTTACCTTCAACCCAGAGATTTCTCAGCAGTATATTTTTCTGCCACTAGATGTCCCTCATTACCAGCATCATTCATTCCACTTCCTCAAGCCCAGCTTATCCAAGACCCATCCCCCCAGACTGTGACTGGACAGTGAAAGGAGAAGCAGCACATTAAGCTCATCTCTATCGATTTGTT